GCGTTACAAGCGCCATGCTCTACCAATTGAGCTACAGAGGACCACGGGAGAAGGCCGCACTTGACCGTTGCACTTGAATTATTCCCACGGTGAATGGCTAGGCCCGCTACACAATGAAACCACACACTATTGCAGAGACTTTGATATTACCGGCCGCAACTGATATGGTGAAAACAATGTGTGGGGAGGCAGAGGCACAGAAACTCACATCAATACCTTTTGTCAGATAACACTGTTAAACAAAGAATTTATGCTATTGCTAGCAATCAAGAGGAAACTGACTGATCGACTCAAAAACGCTCCAAATGGACATTAGCTGTGAGGGCCGAGATGCCCATGCATTGACTTTTGTTCACTATACATGTCAGGAGATGCTATTCACGAGGACATATTGTTCTGTCTCACGATTCTCAAGCATGAAACGGCTTAGGGATGTTCAGTGTGCAGCGTGGCTATGTTGATGAAAAACAGATTCCATATTGGATTGAATGGTGGGCTTTTGCACAGATGGTGCTCCATCTATGGCGTGACCGCGGGTAGACCTCTGCACTCTAGTTATGAATATGAATACCTCTGCCATATGGACTCATTGTATGATACACCGAGAGCAACTGGCTGCAAAAAAGCTGAGCACAGAACTCGGAGATATACTGCAGCAGGTAACTTTGATTGTAAACTACATCAAACCACATCCACTGTGTGCACGCCTGTTCGCAAAACTATGTGGAGATATGGGATCAGAGCATGAAAATGTTATATTTCACACCGAGGCTTGGTGGTTATCGAGGAGGAGTGCTGGAAAGATTTTTTCGCATTTATAGAGGAATTGTTGTCATTCACAATGGATGTAAAAAAAAAAAAACCAGACTTGGTTGACTTTTTGTGTAATTAAAATAAAATAACAGAAAACAGCATCAGTAAGTGTCCCACACGAGTGATGATTGCTCACCTCCAATGCTTGGAAGAGTACTTTGGGACCTACTTCCCAATCCGTTTTGGAACTCCTAAATGGGAACTCGGAAATCCCTGACTTCTGACTTCAGTGCGTTCAAGACAACTGGGAACTCAGAAAGAAACAAGCTCTGAATGGGAAAATGTGTTTTGAACGGTCATCCAACTCGGAATTCCAACTCAGGAACTCGGGCCTCTTTCTAGAGCTCTGACATTACGACCTGAAAATCACTGACGTGATGATTTGACCTCTTATTTTTCCAAGTTCCCGTTCCCATTTGTCTTGAAAGCACCATAAAGCTCATGGTAGGCTACCCTTCGCCAGCTCTTATCTGTGTGCAGCTGGATTCAGTGCTCTCGGCTGCATTAAAACCAAATATCGATCCAGGTTGGATGTGACAGCAGAGATGAGGTGCGCACTGTCGACCACGGCTCCTGACTTTGAGAATCTCTGACGCGGCATGCTTCAAGCACACCCATCTCATTAGTGGTGGTTAGGTAAGAGACATTATGTCAGACTAATTTGCAATTGACTGTCATAGCCCCACATTAAAAGTATGTGATGGTGAGTTGAGAAGACAATCAGAAAAATAATGTTTTTCAATTGACTGCCATAGCCCCAGATAAAAAGTAAATATTGTCTGTTAATTACATAATTGTTTTCACATGGTTGGGGTCGTGAGAATTTTCAGATATCAAAATTGGGTCGTGGGCAAAAAAAAGTTTGTGAGCCCCTGACCTAGCAACTCAGACTATTTTAGAAAATAGGGTTAGTATTCAGAAACTCTGACCATTTTAGAAAATAGGGTTAGTATTCAGCAACTCAGACCATTTTAGAAACTAGGGTTAGTATTCAGAAAACTCTGACCATTTTAGAAAATAGGGTTAGCAGTATTTAGCAACTCTGACCATTTGAGAAACTAGGGTTAGTATTCAGGAGGGATAGAATGAATCATGGAAATGAAGACTTAATATATGGACAAGGTTCCCCTTGATGTTCCTGGAGCTAATTAACACTAGAACACAACACACATAGCCACAGTATGGACTATTTTAAGTACAGAAGTGACTCTTTTAGATGTGTAGGTTATTCACAATATGCAGTAATATGTTGTGCATGTACTTTACAATATGTTTACTGCCTGAAAGGTTACATGACAGAGTGTAAAGCCTAGATCTAAAATCATTTCAGTTGTGTTAAGAGTGTGCTATACAAGTTGAGTGAGCCACAGCATATCACCTTCAACCATTTCAGTGTGTATTTTTCATATTAAATGAGTTAACTTTGGGAACATAAGCAGATTATGTTGGTCAGTTAGACTGTATTCAGTTGTGGGCCCTGTACACCATTCCTATGATAATAGTGGAACAGGTAGCGGTTTCGCTGTAAGGACTTGTACTGCCACCTGCTGGCATTTATATTTTTTAAAGTCATTTTTTAGCAGACACTCTTATCCAGAGCGACTTAGTGAGTGCATACATTATTTTATTTCTATTTTTTCATACTGGCCCCCCGTGTATTAGGTACAATTTGGTGTTATTTACACTGAACAAAAATATAAACGCAACATGCAACAATTTCAAAGATTTTACTGAGTTACAGTTCATATAAGGAAATCAGTCAATTGAAATAAATTCATTAGGCCCGAATCTATGGATTTCAGATGACTGGGAATAAAGATATGCATCTGTTGGTCACAGATACCTTTAAAAAAAAAAGAATAGGGGCGTGGATCAGAAGACCAGTCAGTATCTGGTGTGACCACCATTTACCTCATGCAGCGCGACACATCTCCTCCGCATAGAGTTGATCAGGCTGTTGATTGTGGCCTGTGGAATGTTGTCCCACTCCTCTTCAATGGCTGTGCAAAGTTGCTGGATATTGGCGGGAACTGGAACGCGCTGTCGTACACGTCGATCCAGAGCATCCGAAACATGCGCAATGTGTGACATGTCTGGTGAGCATGCAGGCCATGGAAGAACTAGGACATTTTCAGCTTCCAGGAATTGTGTACAGATCCTTGCGACATGGAGCCATGCATTATCATGCTGAATCATAAGGTGATGGCGGCGGATGAATGGCACGGCAATGGGCCTCAGGATCTCGTCACGGTATCTCTGTGCATTCAAATTGCCATCGCTAAAATGCAGTTGTGTTTGTTGTCCTTAGTGTATGCTTGCCCATACAATAACCTCACCGCCACCATGCGGCACTTTGTTCACAACGTTGACATCAGCAAACCGCTCGACCACAAGACGCCATAAACGGTGTCTGCCATCTGCCCGGTACAGTTGAAACCGGGATTCATCCTTGAAGAGCACACTTCTCCAGCGTGCCAGTGGCTGTCCAAAGGTGAGTATTTGCCCACTGAAGTAGGTTACGATGCCAAACTGCAGTCAGGTCAAGACCCTGATGAGGACGACGAGCACGCATACGAGCTTCCCTGAGACGGTTTCTACAAAACCCACAGTTTCATCAGCTGTCCGGGTGGCGGGTCTTAGACGATCCCGCAGGTGAAGAAGCCGGATGTGGATGTCCTGGACTGGCGTTGTTACATGTGGTCTGCATTTGTGAGGCTGGTTGGATGTAATGCCAAATTCTCTAAAATGACTTATGGTAGAGAAATTAACATTCAATTCTCTGGCAACAGCTCTGGTGGACATTCCTGCAGTCAGAATGCCAATTGCATGCTCCCTCAAAACTTAAGACATCTGTGGTATTGTGTTGTGTGACAAAACTGCACATTTTAGAGTGGCCTTTTATTGTCCCCAGCACAAGGTGTACCTGTGTAATGATCATGCTGTTTAATCAGCTTCTTGATATGCCACAACTGTCAGGTGGATGGATTATCTTGTCAAAGGAGAAATGCTCACTAACAGGGATGTAAACAAATTTGTGAACAGAATTTGATAAAAATAAGCTTTTTGTGCAGATGGAACATTTCTGGGATTTTTTATTTCAGCTCTTGAAACATGGGACCAACACTTTACATGTTGCGTTTATATTTTGGTTCAGTGTAGTTTAAAAAAAATCATAAGCAATCATATGAAAGACAAGGACAAATCAGATCGCTGATCTAATACATTTTTATTTTTTATTAATAATATAGCAAAAACAGTACATTTATTTTAAAATTGATACAACAAAATGCAATTAAAGGTCATTGGTTGACATCAGTTGAGTTGAGTCTCTTCCGATTGGTTCCCTCGGACTCAGAACGTCCTGGGCAAAGGTCTGATTCCCATGTTCTCCTACACTTTTGCCTTGTCACACTTGGGACAATGGCAATGTCACTCTCCTCAACTGACCTAATAATAATAACAATACATTTTAAGAGCCTTTCAAGTCACCCTAAGACACACACAGAATATATCAAATAAAAAAACACAAGATCAAAAATAAAGAGATCAAAAGATAGGCTACCTCTTCCATTTCTTCCGGGATGGGCCTTCTAGTTGGAAACAGCCTGGCCTACTAGAAGGGCCGGACTCCCTGGTCCTCTTAAAGGTGACCCATGGTGGCAACCTAGGGATCAGGAAACTGTCAGAGTCCTCTGATCCTCTCATTCTCTTGGTGGGCGGGACCCTCTGGTCCTCTGGATCTCTTATGGGAGACTCTCGACGCTTCACATCTAAACCACTATAATCTACGAAATGAAAGACAATACACACAATCAGTCACACTAAAAGACACCAGTTGTCTTCAAAAACGTTCTATGTGATGATGTTTTCCTAATAAACTTTGATACTCACCATTACTCAAAGAACTGGCTGGATGAGTGCTTTCTGGTTCTGCCTCCCTGCTTCTAAACCAGGTGACCCATGATGGAACTACCTGAGGGGCAAGTATGAGACAGACTGGTGCTCTGGTGATCTCAGGGCTGGAGCTCTGGAGAATCTCATGGTGTTCGCCCACCATGACCTCCAGGTCCACAGGGGCCGTGGCCATGGCGACTGCCTGGTCCACCTCAGCCCTCAGGGCATGGGTTCTGGCCACTGGGACTTCACGGACCTGATCTTGATCAGAGGATGAGGAGGGTGTGGGCTCTATGAAGAGGCCCACTTCTCTGGACTCTTCTAACGGGTCTTCTGACTCCAATTCGGATTCAAAGCCTGAGTCGTAGCCCAAGTCAGGATCAGACTCTTCCTGGTCAGACTGATAGTTGGAGTCAGGCTCGTAGCCATCGTTATACATATGCAGCGACATTTTAGCAATAGAAAGTTACACAGATGTTCTCAAAACGACCTGTCTTCTCAGAAGGTGAAAGTGTTTATGGGGGGAATGTTGATTCTGTTTCTAGAATGTTGTGGAATTTTAGAATGTTATTGATGGTTTCTATGGCAAACTAAGCTTGATTTGGCAAACCAGCCTGAAGCAGGTGACGTCATAATGGTTGGCTATGTGGCCAAGGAGATATGGACATTCAAATCCAAACAACTTATTTTCTGTGTGGAGTGGTGCATTCAGTAAAACACATACAAATAATCAAAATAATCAAAAGCATTAAAGGCAATAGATGACAGGACATCATTTACAGTCTTTAGCTGGCTCCATGCCCTAGTTCAAAGTATGTTTCAACTCCAAGTATTATTTGTAAACTGATTAGAGGTCTGTATAACATTCATAACTGTATAGACAGAAGGTGTGAATGAAAGTTTGACATCAATTGCCTTTCAATAAAATCATAAGAACATAAAGACTGCGTTTACACAGCCAACCCAATTCTGATCTTTTGCCCAATTATTGGCAAAAGAGCTTATCTGATTGGTCCAGTTAGTGGAAAAAGATCAGAATTGGGCTGCCTGTGTAGTTGCAGCCATAAAGCTTAGAATATCTGGATTGGAATATTTAGCTTAGTGTGTGCTAGCCTATATCTCTTTTAATGTTCTGTGTTGTTGTATTTGTTGTTTGTCCGCAGGGCTGGAGTACTGTGTGCGTATGCAGCTAACCAGAACCTGAGCTCTCAGCTCAAAGGCATGAGGAGACTGGTCAGCAGCAACCTGAGGGACCTGCAGAGCTTTACCAACGAGACGCCAACGGTAAAGCTTTTTTAGCGTAGCTGCAATGACAGTATTACTGTAGGTGTGCACACAAGGCTAAGTAGAGAATGTACGAGATGGTTAGATTAAATGTACAATACCGGTCAAAAGTTTTAGAACACCTACTCATTCAAAAGTTTTTCTTTATTTTTACTATTTTCTACATTGTAGAATAATAGTGAAGACCTCAAAACTATGAAATAACACATATGGAATCATGTAGTAACCAAAAAAGAAACAAATCAAAATATATTTGAGATTTGAGATTCTTCAAATAGCCACCCTTTGCCTTGATGACAGCTTTGCACACTCTTGGCATTCTCTCAACCAGCTTCACCTGGAATGCTTTTCCAACAGTCTTGAAGGAGTTCTCACATATGCTGAGCACTTGTTGGTTGCTTTTCCTTCACTCTGCCGTCCGACTCATCCCAAACCATCTTAATTTGGTTGAGGTCGGGGGATTGTGGAGGTCAGGTCATCTGATGCAGAGCTCCATCACTCTCCTTCTTGGTCAAATAGCCCTTACACAGCCTGGAGGTGTGTTGGGTCATTGTCCTGTTGAACAACAAATGATAGTCCCACTAAGCCCAAACCAGATGGATGGCGTATCGCTGCAGAATGCTGTGGTAACCATGCTGGTTAAGTGTGCCTTGAATTCTAAATAAATCACAGACAGTGTCACCAGCAAAGCACACCCACACCATAACACCTCCTCCTCCATGCTTTACGGTGGAAAATACATATGCGGAGATCATCCGTTCACCCACACTGCGTCTCACAAAGACACGGCGGTTGGAACCAAAAATCTCCAATATGGACTCCAGACCAAAGGACACATTTCCACCGGTCTAATGTCCATTGCTCGTGTTTCTTGGCCCAAGCAAGTCTCTTCTTCTTATTGGTGTCCTTTAGTAGTGGTTTCTTTGCAGCAATTCGACCGTGAAGGCCTGATTCACACAGTCTCCTCTGAACAGTTGATGTTGAGATGGGTCTGTTATTTGAACTCTGTGAAGCATTTATTTGGGCTGCAATTTCTGAGGCTGGGAACTCTAATGAACTTATCCTCTGCAGCAGAGCTAACTCTGGATCTTCCATTCCTGTGGCGGTCCTCATGAGAGCCAGTTTCATCAGGGCGCTTGATGGTTTTTGCGACTGCACTTGAAGAAACTTTCAAAGTTTTTGAAATCTTCTGTATTGACTGACCTCCATGTCTTAAAGTAATAATGGATTGTCGTTTCTCTTTGCTTATTTGAGCTGTTCTTGCCATAATATGGACTTGGTCTTTTACCAAATAGGGCTATCTTCTGTATACCCCCCTACCATATCACAACACAACTGTTTGGCTCAAACGCATTAAGAAGGAATGAAATTCCACAAATTAACTTTTAAGAAGGCGCACCTGTTCATTGAAATGCATTCCAGGTGACTACCTCATGAAGCTGGTTGAGGGAATACCAAGAGTGTGTAAAGCTGTCATCAACGCAAAGGGTTGGCTATTTGAAGAATCTCAAATATAAAATATATTTTGATTTGTTTAACACTTTTTTGGTTACTACATGATTCCATATGTGTCATTTCATAGTGTTGATGTCTTCACTATTATTCTACAATGTAGAAAATAGTAAAAATATAGAAAAACCCTTGAATGAGTAGGTGTTCTAAAACTTTTGACCGGTAGTGTATATTGTATGCTTCGCAAAGGGTGCACGCATATATATATGTGCATGTGTATGTGTGAGATAGTGAGAGACTGACAGAGTAACACAATCTCGGACAAAAAAACAACAAATAATCTCAGACAAAAAAACAGACTTGTGTCTCAATTTCTGTAACTTTACTCTGCTCTTCTTTTCACAGCAAATTGATTACCTAATAGCACAATACGCCACTGCCAAGAACAAAGTCCTTTCTGACTTAGATAGTAAGTACAGTGCCTGAGGCCACGTCTCCATATTGTCTCTGTTCAGTCTATTGCACAAAACTATGAATCTATGGCCATATCAAGTTAACAATATCTTCAACATCAATTAGATACATAACAGAGTTGTAGTCAGTTTCATTTCAATTCTGTCAATTGAGGAAGTCAACTGCAATTCCAATTACAGTGGGGGAAAAAAAGTACTGGCTTAAGCAGGGGGACACGTCTGGCACTGCAGGATTTGAGTCCCTGGCGGCGTAGTGTGTTACTGATGGTAGGCTTTGTTACTTTGGTCCCAGCTCTCTGCAGGTCATTCACTAGGTCCCCCCGTGTGGTTCTGGGATTTTTGCTCACCGTTCTTGTGATCATTTTGACCCCACGGGGTGAGATCTTGCGTGGAGCCCCAGATCGAGGGAGATTATTAGTGGTCTTGTATGTCTTCCATTTCCTAATAATTGCTCCCACAGTTGATGTCTTCAAACCAAGCTGCTTACCTATTGCAGATTCAGTCTTCCCAGCCTGGTGCAGGTCTACAATTTTGTTTCTGGTGTCCTTTGACAGCTCTTTGGTCTTGGCCATAGTGGAGTTTGGAGTGTGACTGTTTGAGGTTGTGGACAGGTGTCTTTTATACTGATAACAAGTTCAAACAGGTGCCATTAATACAGGTAACGAGTGGAGGACAGAGGAGCCTCTTAAAGAAGTTGTTACAGGTCTGTGAGAGCCAGAAATCTTGCTTGTTTGTAGGTGACCAAATACTTATTTTCCACCATAATTTGCAAATAAATTCATTAAAAATCCTACAATGTGATTTTCTGTATTTATTTTTCTCCATTTGTCTGTCATAGTTGACGTGTACCTATGATGAAAATTACAGGCCTCTCTCATCTTTTTAAGTGGGAGAACTTGCACAATTGGTGGCTGACTAAATACTTTTTTCCCCCACTGTATTCTCCATTGCTTTTCTATGAGAGAAATGTACTTCCTGAATTCAAATGGAATTGGACCCTAACCATAATACATAATTATGCTATTTCCCCATCCTCAGATGTGGGTCCTCTGCTTGGAGGGAAAATTCATGAGGAATTGGGAAAAGAGGTCCGTCCTGCACTGGACGGAGCGCTCATTATGGCTGTTGGTACGTCCTGTTCTTATGATATATAATTTCCTCTTTCAGACAGATGCTGTAATTTGTTTTTATTCTCTGCCACACTGACAATGCTGTCCTCAAATTGGACACAAGTTATGAGGATCTTTTAAGAATACACTGAGTGTACAAAACATTATTATTATATGTGTTTTTTGTATTTAACCTTTATTTAACCAGGTCAGACACATTGAGGTTAAAAAGCTCTTTTGCGAGGGCGACCTGCAAGACAAACAGGGAAATAGCAGCATGTACATCAAATATTATAAAAAAATACAAATACACACAAGTTGCAGACACTGTACATTTGAAGATTAAAAACAACTGCAACTATCAAAAACAGTGTTGTCGATCAGAGTCTTAAAAACAGGCAAGGACTAACTACCCTAACTTTAATATATTTTGAAGCATGCTCCAGGATGAAGGGGCATTATGGGAAAAAGTTAGCTAGTTTTAGGAACAGACAAGGACAGCAGCGACTGTGAACGAAGACTGTATTGAGTGACTGATCTGGTCAGTAAGGAACAGAGATACAAAGGGAGTTGCCCTATCAATGCTTTGTATACAAGGGTGTACCAGTGCTTTAGCCTCCTGGTGGAGAGAGAGGTCCATTGCACCACAGCATACAATTCACATGGGGTCAACAATGCAGATTTTTTTTTAAGTAAGTAAAAAAATATTTGCTAAAGATAATTTAAAAAAAACTGAAGTAAGAAGAAAAAATAAGAAATAAAAATGATTGTGTGTGTGCCAGGCATGGATTGTGTGTGTGTGGAGGGTGAATTGGCAAGACAAAATATTTAAGTGCACCGGTTTGAGTTTGTTAAGAAATGCAACGCTGCTAGGTTTTTCACGCTCAACCGTTTCCCGTGTGTATCAAGAATGGTCCACCACCCTTAGGGTGGGAAGCATTGGAGTCAACATGGGCCAGCGTCCCTGTGGAATGCTTTCGACACCTTGTAGAGTCCATGCCCTGAGGAATTGAGGTTGTTCTGAGGGCAAAAGGGTGTGCAACTCAATATTAGGAAGGTGTTCCTAATGTTTTGTATACTCAGTGTATCTACATAGTAAAGTAGCATTGTAGTTTTTATAGAAAGATCTTGTTACTTAGCTCGTAACATGGCGTACCACGACTTTAATGGCTTAAGTAGACCTCCTTTTCTTTCCTTTTTACTTTTTATCATAAAGTCAAAGTGGAGAGGGCCATTAAAGGTAACAGTAAATGAACCCAGACCTTGTGATCCTTGACCTTGTGACCTTGAGACCTCACCCTGGTGTCACTCTTGTGATTGGTTCCCTTGTGGTTTTCCTAGCTCTTGAGCCAATTGTAGCTTGGTCGAAGATCTGTTTGTAACAATGGCGTGACAATGACCATAGGAGATGGCAAGACAGCACAAACAGATCTGGGACCAGGCTAAATCGCTAGACATCCCTGTGTGTGTACAGTACTGTATATTTGGAACTGTCCAAACCTTCCTTGCGTGCCATCTTAATTATGAATCAAATGAATATATTAAGTGTATGGCCTTCCAAGTTCCAATCTTGCTCCAACAGTGGATTGAACCTGCAACTATTGTTCAGCTGCAGCTATTGCTGCCCCTGTGTGAATGTGTGTGTGTTTTTTTGTGTATAATCACGGCCAGGGTATGGCTGTGCATGTGTGTGTATTTGGTTTGTGTGTGCGTGCTTGTGTGTGCATACATTGAGTGTTTTTGTGAATGTACCATGTGCATTTGTGTGTGTGTCTATACTGCACTCTCACACACACTCACCACCTCTCCATCCTACCCTGTCCCCATCCCAAGCCATGCGGGAGACCAAGGAGGCCCTGGAGAACGTGAGTGTGTCTCTGGAGGTTCTTCAGGAGGCGACATGGAAGCTCCACTTCAACCTGAGCCTGGTGCGCTCCAGCCTCAACAAAACCCTCAACGACCCGGGCTGCAGCGACGAGGACTCGGACGCCACCACCGCCCAACTCTGCCGCTCCATCCGCAGCTCCCTGGCACAGCTCCACGTCAGCGCCAACTTCACCTGGGTATGCTGGCACACTTGATTAAATAGGATAATAATAGTCATACTGTAATACATGTATTTATATAGCACAATACTATTTGCCATCTGGTCTATTTAAAAATGTTTTTTTTTCTCATTGTATGGGCTGCGCTGCATGAGGAAAGTTACGTTGTAAGTGTGTGTTGTCTGTAATGTGTTGCAGTTACCTGATGTGAACAATCAGCTGGAAAGTGTGAATCAATTGCTAAAGACAGACCTCAGCAATATCATTCAAAAGGTGAGTCTAGAAATGTTGCAAAACCTTTAGGTATAAATTGGATGTTGTGAGATTTTCTTTGATATTTGTGATACTGTATCATCAACGCAAACTTGCCTTTCTATGAATGTAGGATATTAATGACTCGTTTCTCACAGCAGGAAAATAATCCTGCAGCAACAGGAAATGTAAAGTATTGTGTGGATTATAATTAATTGAAATGTTTTTTTAAACCTTAAATACACTACAAGTTTGCATTTTTCATGCAACAACAGGGTGATCTAATTAAGATCCTACAGCTGTACTTTCTTCTCCAAACAGGGCTACTCCTCATTCAATGACACTCCAGGCATGGTGAGTGACCAGATGAGGAACGTAGTCGACGGTGAGTGGCATCTCTTTAACCTCATTTAATGCTCCTAAAAAAGTTTCAGAAGACATTATATGTAGGGTTATATCATTTGGAGTGTTCAACTTTGCATTGCCAAGTCAGTCATGTTCAGTATGGTATGAATACGCATTGAAGGTAATGTCTTATAAGCCCAATAAGACCAATGGCCATATTCCAATGAATGACCTACACCCGAACTGTCGTACCCCAATACCCCAAAATATACGATTGTATTACTCCATTACTTCACTAATGCCCCTCCCTCCCTCCCAGGAGCCCGGCGCTTGTTGGACATCATGGGCACCAACATCAGCAGCTTCTCCAAGGTGTTCCCTGTACACAGCACTATGGCCAACTTCACCAACTTCATTAGTCACACACACTCCAAGATAGAAGATTCCTACCCCGAGATCGACCAGATTGACTTCTACAGGTATAATCAGGAACTGGGGCCCGATTCACAAACTGTGTGTACCAAACGGCACCTTATTCCCTATATTGTGTAGTACTTTTGACCAGGGCCCATGATGTGCTCAGAGTTCAGAACAAATAAAGGTCTTCACCTGCCGGGTCTGTGGTAGATTGACGTAAAGAGAGTAAAATCTGTTGTTACTGAGTATCATCTGGAGTTATTTCATCATTTGAAAGCAGCAGCAGTCACTGTGACATAATGTAATAATGAATCAAGAGTTTGTTAGGTCAGTTATCTTTTAAGTATACCCTGGACCTGACCACGGGACCTGCAGGCCCCGACAGAGAGCATTGCAGCGCAGTTGGCATTTTTCCTGCTGCGGGCGGGAGCGGGCGGTCAGACATACAACTTTGGGATGAAAATATTTTTGGGTCCTGCAGATTATTTCGAAACGGTTGTCTTTTTGTTGTGTATGCGTTAACTTTTGTAGCCTATTAAAAGCACCTATTTGTCGCACTCACAAACTCTCATAGGCTAATCTTTGCTGCTTCAAGTTCAGCCTCCCTCTCTTCTCTTTTGTTGGGCGTGCGAAATCAAATGTGCCTATGTGTGGTCTCAATTAAATATATTATATATATTATATTATTATATATTATATAAATATCCTGTAGGCTGCATGTGCGGAGAAGCACGCCGCAGTTGTATTTCCAAGGAAATGTACTTCCTAATGGTAGGCTATAGCTCCGACATCGACTGGAAATAAATAGCCTATTGATAACACATTTATTTGTCTATGGCTGCAAATCTGTATCTATTGTAGCCTTTTAAAAGCACCTATTTTTCCGCAATATTCACAAACGAATAGCCTAATTTTCAGTAGTTCAGTAGCCTACCCCTCTATTTTGTTGTGCGTGCAAGATCAACTGCGCCTAGACCTATGTGTGGTCTCAATAAAAAACCTGTAGAAGCGCGGGCCACGGGGAAGTTGTCGTTCCAAGGAAATGACCTTCCTAAATATGATAGGCTGTAGTTTATGCTCCGACACTGACTGGAAATAAATATTGATGACACATTTATTTGACTCTGTCTGCAAATCGTCCCGCTCCTAAAGGTTATGCAAAACGTAGCTTAAGTCCAGTGCACTCCTATTCTAATTTCTAACTCCGCTCTCTTTCAAACTACTGTATGTCTAGCTTATTGGCTGATATAGTCCAATAATACCAATAACGGAATATAATTGGCCACGTTTGAATCTCTGGTATTTTAACCTATTTATTAGGCTATTTTTACATTTTGATCTTGCTTAAGGTGGCACATTTGCTGGGGACAGGGCTGCAAAGCAAGCAGCGTCACATACACCTAAAATAACATTGCGGGACTACGGTCGGGTCCAGTTCTTGTGGGAGGGGGTGGGAGTCGGACTAGAAGTTAGCAGGAGCCGGCAGGTGCGGGGGCCATACGAAAAGCTGCTGGAGCGGGATGAAGAAATCAGTCCCGTGTAGACCTCTACCCAGAGACATAGACATAGGCTGTAGTCTCCATCGTTATCCTAATGTAGTGGTTTGTTGTTACTTGTTATAGTGTACTGACTCCAGGGTTCCTCTACAGGTGGATTTGCTGTATCGGCCTGTGCTGCATGGTGGTTCTCATCCTGGCCTTCAACTTCCTGGCCATACTGTGTGGCTCCATAGGATACGACAAGCACGCCTCCCCCACCACACGGGGCTGTGTCTCCAACACCGGCGGCACCCTGCTCATGGCGTGAGTAGTAGGCTGGCTGGCAGGCTGGCTGTATTTCTGGCCAGCTGGCTATCTGTCTCTCTGGCTGGCTGGTTGGCTGGTTGGCTGGGCGTCTGTCTGTCTGGTTGTCTGTCTGTCTGTTTATACTTTCTACAGTATACAGCACTAAGTGTGTGTGTGTGTGTGTGTGTGTGTGTGTGTGTGTGTGTGTGTGTGTGTGTGTGTGTGTGTGTGTGTGTGTGTGTGTGTGTAGATTGATTGAATGCTCTATCTGTCTATCTACAGTACCAGTCAAAAGTTTTAGAACACCTACTCATTCAATTCAAGGATTTTTCTTTATTTTTACAATTTTTTACATTGTAGAATAATAGTGAAGACATCAAAACTATGAAATAACACTTATGGAGTTATGTAGTAACCCAAAAAGTGTTAAACAAATCAAAATATATTTGAGATTTGAGATTCTTCAAATAGCCACCCTTTGCCTTGATGACAGCTTTGCACACTCTTGGCAGTCTCTCAACCAGCTTCACCTGTAATGCTTTTCCGATAGTCTTGAAGAAGTTCACACAAATGCTGAGCACTTGTTGGCTGCTTTTCCTTCACTCTGCCGTCCGACTCATCCCAAACCATCTCAATTGGGTTGAGGTCGGGGGATTGTGGAGGCCAGGTCATCTGATGCAGCACTCAATCACTCTCCTTCTTGGTCAAATAGCCCTTACACAGCCTGGAGGTATGTTGGGTCATTGTCCTGTTGAAAAACAAATGATAGTCCCACTAAGCCCAAACCAGATGGGACGGCGTATCGCTGCAGAATGCTGTGGTAGCCATGCTGGTTAAGTGTGCCTTGAATTCTAAATAAATCACAGACAGTGTCACCAGCAAAGCACCCCAACACCATAACACCTTCTCCTCCATGCTTAGTGGTTTCTTTGCAGCAATTCGACCATGAAGGCCTGATTCACACAGTCCCCTCTGAACAATTGATGTTGAAATCTGTCTGTCTTTCTGTCTGTCTGTCTGTCTGTCTGTCTGTCTGTCTGTCTGTCTATGCGTGTCTCTCCACAGCGGTGTGGGCTTCAGCTTCCTCTTCTCCTGGATACTGATGGGAGTGGTGACCGCCACCTTTCTGGTCGGGGGCAACGTGGAGAAGCTGGTCTGCGAGCCCTTCCACACCAAGCAGCTCTTCAAGGCAAGTTATGATGTGATAACTTTTAATGTGAGACTGTCTAGGTATTGTGTGTGGTCTTGCTGTATAATAATGGTCTACAACTGAATGATGGTCTTACTAGTCATTTGTGTCCCAGGTTTTGGACACTCCTCACCTGGTGAACCCTGAGTGGAGGAATTTCATCCCTGGGTACATGTACAACGACTCAGACCTGGATCTCACAGTGGAAAGTCTCTACAGGTAATACTTTACAGGATGTATGTATGTACCACTTACTGCTGGGGATTCATTTGTTTGTTTTAGTGATGGTTTATGTTTTACATAGACCTGCTGGATAACTATATTGATTACTTATGAATAGAACTAGATGAACACTAGCTATTTCTGTTTTGTGGTATTGTTTGATTGAAATAAATGTCACAGGATATTACCTGTGTCAATATTCTGTCTCCTCACATTCTCTCTGACATTGCTTAATACATTATTTAAAAGATTGAAACTAGGGAGAGGGATTTAATGCTTGAGATTTCTTTTCTGCCTAGATTTAATCAACTTTCATCATCTCTCGATTAGAACAGGCAGCAAATCTGTGTTGTAAGACCATCACGTTGTATTCCCTATTATAAACCGGGTCATTTGAGCCCTAGTTGCTGACTGAAAGCCATGGCAAATGAGACATGACGCAAAACTACTTGTTTACTGTTCTAATTACATTGGTAACCTGTTTATAATAGCAATAAGGCACCTCAGTGTTTGTGGTATATGGCCAATATACCCCGGCTAAGGGCTGTATCCAGGCACTCCACGTTGCATCGTGCATTAGAACAGCCCTTAGCCGTGGTATATTGGCCATATACCACACCCCCTCGATCCTTATTGCTTAAAGATAGTATAGTTGCCTCAGCTACTCCTGCCTAGTCAACAAGTGACACATGAGATAGTGTGTACTGACATGACCATAGGAATTCCTTTACCTTACTTTACTCTTGCATGTGACACTTGAATATGTTCATGGCAGTTGTCTAACTACAAATGGGAAACGTCGGTCATGCTGACTTGATTTGTTGCTTTGGAAAAGCTCTCTATGAGTGACTTGTGAGTACACTGCTTATAAAATGACTGGAAGGCAGCAATACAGAGATAAGGAGAGTGTATGAGGTTCCAACTTTATTCACTGGATGGTGGCAGAGAGAGCAAGCTAACCAAAACATTTATGAATGGACATGAGATCATGCTGAACTCTCTCTCTCTCTGTCCCTCTCTCTCTCTTTTCTCTCTCTCTCTTTTCTCCCTCTCTCCTGTTCTCCTCTCTCAGTAATTGCAAAGAGAATAGAGGTATTTACTCTGCCATGCGCCTGGACAAAGTCTTCAATGTCACAACCTTCCTAAACTCTAGCCTGGTCAGTATTCAGTGTGCACTCACTGTACTGCATTCTGCATACCTGTGCATGAAAGTCACACACTATAGTCAAACTCACACATAGTCCGACCTGGGTTAAATACCAAATACTTTCTAATACTTGAGGTGGCGCTTGGTTTAGCTTGCCGGGTACAATGTAACCAATGAAATAGTCCAAATGAAAAGCGCAAACTCCGCCCACCCTGCACACTGAGGCCTGAAGAGTTGTGTCAGCTCACTGAGTGAATTCAATGCCTAGGATTTAACTCATCAGGCGAACACAGTCTTGTGGTGTGCAGCAGACCCAGGTGATTACATACAGGCTAGCACTCTCTATTTGCTAATGGTGATTAATTAACATGAGCTAAATGAGTTATCCTTGCCAAAACATAGAGCAGGCTAGTGAGCTGTAGCATTAGCATTCCTTCACCATTACCTCAGCTTGTATCATTGGACTTCCTTGACTTAATTCCAGTCCTGTCTAGTGTCAACCAAGCGGACCATTCTGTATGAGTCAGCCAGCTGGCAAGATTATCTTGCTTCTGTTATTGTAAGGAATAGCAAATTGCATGGATAGAGCTGGCTAGTGTATCCTAAGTTATAGTACAGTATAGTTCTCCCTATGTTCATTTTGGTGTCTTTTTTAATACTGATTTCACTTGCTCATTTTTACATAGAGCACATTCAAATATACTCATGTATTTTTTGGTCCCATTATACCAGTTTAAAAAACAAAATGAAAAGAAAACCGTCCTAATCTGTACTTTGTATCAATGAATGGGGTTGCCTAGGAAGACCCTCTGCGAATTAAGAATTTGAATGGGGCTCAATGTAAAGTTGATGTTGCCAGAGTAACCGAGTCCTTTACCCAGGATCTATGGTATCCCCCAACACACACAAATCAAAAACAAAGGGGTTTGCGTAACACTGGCTGGTCTAACGTGTAAACAAGTTTGTTTTTATCACCATTTTGTTCTAGGCTTGTCTCTAAAATAGAATTCTATTTCTATTTATATGGTCTTGACCTTCGCGGTACCAGACCTCAACACCATCTTAGAACCGCTGGAGTCGAGGCTACTAAAATAGTGATGGAAAACAAACCATTTACACACATGCACGAGTTGTAGCATGTCAAGTTTTGGTATTGCAACATCCATATGCAATGAAAATTGGCGTAAAAAAAACAGACTAGCACCTGCTTCATAACACATTTGTAACCAATACATACTGCATTCATAGCTATTGTTTATCCTGCTTGTAAACTGACTGTTCTCCCTCTCTGTTTCCAGGACACCAAGGAGATGGGGAAGATGTTTAACAATGTGAAGATTGACCTGAGAGCTATCATCCTGCTGGAGTCTGAGGGGAAGCAGAACCTCATTGGCTTCTCTGAGACGGGCGTCGCCGAGATCAACTACGTTGCCTATCTAGAGGAGGTATTAGACTGGCATTGAGGGGGGCATCTCAATCTAAAAAGAGTTTCTCCCCTGGTCTCCTATCGTTCATTTCTATAGTTTAATGTGGTGTCCTCCACTTGTCTTCTCTCCTTTTATCTCAAAAGTCTAGTGTCCTCCTCTCTTTCGTCTTAATAGTGAGTGGTGTTGTGGTGTTGGAGGGCCAGGGAGGGGGCACTCTTCCCTCTGGTCTAAGGAGATCCCAATGCCCCAGGCCAGTGAAGGGGACATTGCCCTGCGTAAGGTGCCATCTTTCGGGTGGGACTTTAAACGTGTGTCCTGACTCTCTGTGGTCACTAAAGATCCCATGGCACTTATCGTGTTCTGGCTAAATTCCCAATCTGGCCCTCATACCATTATGGCCACCTAATCATCCCTAGCTTCTAATTAGCTCACCCCTCTCCTCCCCACTGTTACTCTTCCCCAGGTCGTTGCTGTAAAATATCATATGTTCTCAGTCAACTTATCTGGTAAATAAGGGTAATATATAAATAATAGTCTACTTTGGCTTCCTCTCCTCATCTCTTCTCCTCCTTGTCTCCTCTCCTTCATCTCAAGCCACTGTAGACTTTTCAGATATACCTTCAAGAGACACACTAGCATACTCGTACAACACACAACTCAACCTAAAGATCGTTATCATTTCAGATGCGAACCTGCTTGAAAGCATCCTACATTAGTGACTTATCTTGGCAAGAAAGCTCCTGAATGCAAGAAAAATGTATTAAATATTAACCAGGGTAGGTATTACAGAAACATCCTAACTTAACTGTCAAATCATATGATGGGATACCAGAATGGATTTAGGATTTGCTTCTGTAATGGAAACTTACTTTTGAAATATGAAGGGAATGACAGGATTTTGTTCTGTAATACGCCCCTGACTTTGACAAATGCAAATAGTATGATGAAATGCGAGGACACCAGCAAGATGGTTGAAAAGTCTGATGTACTCATTTACAATCTGCCTCTGTGGTTATACTGTATAACTGCTCCATTCACTGTCATACTACAGACAGCCCTTCTTGGCTGTACAGTACCAAGACACTATATATGCACATACAGATGTAGGATATTTTACCAGGGAGGGGGCGGCAGCTGGGGTCTTCCTGGGGTCTTGCTTGGGCATACAGCTATACATCTATTAATAGAGTTGGCTACACTTCCAGAATTACAAGCTAGGTAATCATTTTTTAAAAAAATTGCGTTGGGGCAACGATTTAACAGCGGTCATGCTCTACTGCTAAGTTAATATAGTGGAAACACTACTCTTGCCAAAATCACAGGGTGCCATAAGCTATAGACTTGGCAGTTTTCCACTACAGTCTTCAGACTCTATTTATACTGAACAAAAATATAAACGCAACATGTAACAATTTCAATGATTTTACTGAGTTACAGTTCATGTAAGGAAATCAGTTAATTGAAATACATTAATTAGGCCTTAATCTATGGATTTCACATGACTGGGAATACAGATATGCATCTGTTGGTCACAGATACATGTACCTTAAAAAAAAGGTAGGGCCGTGGATCAGAAAACCAGTCAGTATCTGGTGTGACCACCATTTGCCTCATGCAGCGCGACACATCTCCTTTGCATAGAGTTGATCAGGCTGTTGATTGTGGCCTGTGGAATGTTGTCCCACTCCTCTTCAATGGCTGTTGCGAAGTTGCTGGATATTGGCAGGAACTGGAACACGCTGTCGTACACATCGATCCAGAGCATCCCAAACAAGCTCAATGGGTGACATGACTGGTGAGTATGCAGGCCATGGAAGAACTGGGACATTTTCAGCTTCCAGGAATTGTGTACAGATCCTTGCGACAAGGGGCGATGCATTATCATGCTGAATCATAAGGTGATGGCGGCGGATGAATGGCACGACAATGGGCCTCAGGATCTCGTCACGGTATCTCTGTGCATTCAAATTGCCATCGCTAAAATGCAATTGTGTTCTTTGTCCGTAGCTTCTGCCTGCCCATACCATAACCCCACCGCCACCATGGGGCACTCTGTTTACAACGTTGACATCAGCAAACCACTTGCCCACACAACGCCATACACGTGGTCTGCGGTTGTGAAGCCGGTTGGACATACTGCCAAATTCTCTAAAATGACGTTGGAGGCGGCTTATGGTAGAGGAATGAACTTAAAATGATCTGGAAACAGCTCTGGTGGACATTCCTGCAGTCAGCACGCCAATTGCACGCTCCCTCAAAACTTGAGACATCTGTGGCATTGTGTTGTTTAACAAAACTGCACATTTTAGAGTGGCCTTTTATTGTTCCCAGCACAAGGTGCACCTGTGTAATTATCATGCGGTTTAATAAGCTTTTTGATATGCCACACCTGTCAGGTGGATGGATTGTCTTGGCAAAGGACAAAATGCTCACTAACAGGGATGTAAACAAATTTGTGCTCAAAACTTTTTGTGCGTATGGAACATTTCTGGGTTATTTTATTTCAGATCATGAAACTTGGGACCAACACTTTACATGTTGCGATTATATTTTTGTTCAGTATATGTCTTCTCTATCAGAATCTGTTGAATAATCTGTTGAATTCGGGAGAACATTAAGTTACTAAGGAACACTGTCGTCTTATGGCCTCTTACTGCAGCATGTGTAACTCTTTACTTAAAACCGACAGCTATAATGCTTTATGACTTGTTATAAGCGTGTATGAGCCTTTATAGTGTGTTATTATATGGCTTGTAACATGTTATGTATCTCTATGTTGCACATTTGCACAACTGACTATATGGCCGTTATGCAATTACAAGATGAGAAGACATTATATTATGAGAAGTGTTATTATGCATAATAACTGCATCATAATATATTATAATCCTATTTCTGTTCATTTGCAGGTTAACAAAGGGGTGACTCAGGTGGACTTACTGTCGTACGCCAATGAGCTCGAGGCACAAACAGACCTTATGGTGAGAAGAACATACGACCAACCGCCCAAAACCAACACGGCTCCAACCATCCACACAATGTTTTCTCAGTGTACCAGTTGCAAGGCACTTAATTTGATTTACACCAAGATCCAAGACAGGGATCGAATGGAATGGGAGTTCAGATATAAAACTGTGAAAGCTCCATGTGTCTTTATCAACTGCATAGCCTCGCGGAGGTTTGCTGTCGACAAACACACACACACACACTGAAGCAGTCTGTGGAAGCGCTTTTGAATGTTCTGCCTTGCCTTTGGGGGGTTGGAGGCTCACACAAGCTCCCCATTCATGGCCCAAAATGTTGCTGTGTCCAACTCTGGGTCCGCCTACGCCTGCCATGTGCTCGGGGGCAATGGAGCTAGTTTAAAGTGGTCTTCTGTGGGGTGATATGTGCCCCTGCCTGTGCCCCTTAGTATTCATTTGGTGCCCATCTGTCCTGGTACCCCATGTCCTGTTGGCATAGAAAACACACACACGCTGTACACTGAGAATGGTTCATCCATAGAGATCCTATAAATTACTTGATTCTATATGTAATTCTATGGGTTCACTATGTAGTTTTTATGCTGCATTACATCAATTGATTAAGGCAGTCTCTTATACTAAGTGGGTCTGTGTAGGTCTGTGTACTGTAGAGTTTTGCACAGATTGCATATTGCTCCTAATATTTATAAATCTATGCATACATGAATGTATGTATGTAGGACTAGTTAACAACAGATTATTTGAACGATAACATCTGTGTGTGCGTGCGTGCGTATGTGTTTGTTTATCTGAACCTGTTTATATATGTGTGTGTGGTTAGAGCATTGGGACAGTATCTGAAAGGTTACTGGTTCGAATCCTGGAGCCAACAAGGTGAAAAATCTGTTGCTGTGCCCTTGAGCATGGTACTTATCTCCAATTGCTCCAGGGGTGCTGGACAATGGTGACCGAACCAGATACTATTACTATTACCTCTTTGAATGTGTTTATGTGTGTCTACTCTGAACTTCTGTCTCTGTGTGTGTCCACAGCCCAAGGGGCCCCTCCAGACCTCTCTAAAGGGCCACGCCAACAGTCTCCGGCAGATCCACAGTCAGCAGGTCATCCCTATGGAGCAGGCCATGGTAATCAACTATCTATCTTAAATCATTGTTTTTTTAGATTAACATCCATGTCTGGGCCCATCAGTGCTCGGCTTCACTAGACTGGCAGAAATGGCCATTGCCCGTAATCATGCTCTACCCTCTTTGAAAAAAAGGTGCTATATTTACATTTACGTCATTTAGCAGACGCTCTTATCCAGAGCAATTAGGGTTAAGTGCCTTGCTCAAGGGCACATCGACAGAATTTTTTCACCTAGTCGGCTCGGGGATTAGAACCAGCGACCTTTCGGTTACTGGCACAACGCTCTTACCCACTAAGCTACCTGCCGCCCCATATCTATATCTAGAACCTAATAGGTTTCTTCGGCTGTCCTCATAGGAGAACCCTTTGAAGAACCCACACGCGCACACACATACAGTACACTTAGAAAAAAGGGTTCTAAAATGGTTATTTGACTGTCCCCATAGAATAACCCTTTTTGGTTCCAGGTAGAACCCTTTGTGGAAAGGATTCTACATGGAACCCAAAAGAGTTATTCTATGGGGACAGCCAAAGAACCATTTTAGAACCCTTTTTTCTAAGTGTACTGTATGTGCACACGCGTGTACATACATGCTTGTGTGTGTGTGTGCGCGTGTGTGTGTGTGTATGTTCTCAGAATGCTACATGCAGGAGGAATTTGACATCCTCATTGCCAGACGTCGATACAACCTCAGTAGAGCTTTCATCTCTCCAACGTCTGTATTGACTGTATCACTGAAATTCTATAGAATATAGAGCTAGAGAGACACATAGGTATTATTGACCTAGAAGAATCAGACCCGGGTCAAACACATAGGTCAGATACTTTCAAGTAGTTGAAAATGTGTGCGGTGCGCTTGATTTATTTGTACACTTTTGGGAGTACAGTAGTTGAATGTTACATTCACATGGGCAAATCAATAATATATTTTGCTACACCTCACACCCGTATTTGACTTTTTAAAAGGCCTCAACATATGTTAAAAGGACCCAACAACATATACTTACATGACATCACAGTAGCCCACATATAATGTGTTTTTCCCAGAATACGATAATATCCCCATTAATAGTCAGAGTACTTCTAAGTAATTCCACAAACTGCAATCTTGTTACCAAGAAATGCTGAGTTTTAGAGGTCTGTCTTATCTTTTATTTTTATATTTACCCTTTAACTCTTTCTACTTCAATTAATGGCTGCCAAGAAATATGTTAGAGCGAGGGTAAGCATGAGTCTCCACAATGGACCTGTGTTCGTCTTGTAATGTTGAGGGTGATGCTCCCTTCTCCCATCCTTTCAAGCCCATATTGACGTTTTATTTTTAAATGATATGCCTTGCTCATATCGATATCAGTACATATCGATATCATATCAAATTATTGATATCATATTGAATTATTGATACTGGTGCCCACCACTAGTTATAAGTGAGTTGTACATGTTCCTTGTACCTCAAATCCAAGGGGCTTTCCCTGGCATGCCCTGACCACTACCATGAACTTTCATTCTCTTTCAGGTCAGGGTAGTTAGTAAATCATGCTGATTCAGACCTGTATGACATGATTGATTTTGCATGAGCAAGATTGGGTCCGTTACATGCCTTGTAAAAGATACAGTGGCTTGCAAAAGTATTCACCCCCCTTGGCATTTTTCCTATTTTGTTGCCTTACAACCTGGAATTAAAATAGATTTTTGGGGGGGTTTGTATTATTTGATTTACACAACATGCCTACCACTTTGAAGATGCAAAATATTTTTTTTTGTGAAACAAACAAGAAATAAGACAAATAAAAACAGAAAACTTGAGCGTGCATAACTATTCACCCCCCCAAAGTCAATACTTTGTAGAGCCACCTTTTGCAGCAATTACAGCTGCAAGTCTCTTGGGGAATGTCTCTATAAACGTGGCACATCTAGCCACTGGGATTTTTGCCCATTCTTCAAGACAAAACTGCTCCAGCTCCTTCAAGTTGGATGGGTTCCGCTGGTGTACAGCAATCTTTAAGTCATACCACAGATTATTAATTGGATTGAGGTCTGGGCTTTAACTAGGCCATTCCAAGACATTTAAATGTTTCCCCTTAAACCACTAGAGTGTTGCTTTAGCAGTATGCTTAGGGTCATTATCCTGCTGGAAGGTGAACCTCCGTCCCACTCTCAAATCTCTGGAAGACTGAAACAGGTTTCCCTCAAGAATTTCCCTGTATTTCGCGCCATTCATCATTCCTTCAATTCTGACCAGTTTCCCAGTCCCTATCGATGAAAAACATCCCCACAGCATGATGCTGCCACCACCATGCTTCACTGTGGGGATGGTGTTCTCGGGGTGATGAGAGGTGTTGGGTTTGCGCTAGACATAGCGTTTTCCTTGATGGCCAAAAAGCTCAATTTTAGTCTAATCTGACCAGAGTACCTTCTTCCATATGTTTGGGGAGTCTCCCACATGCCTTTTGGCGAACACCAAACGTGTTTGCTTATTTTTTTCTTTAATCAATGGCTTTTTTCTGGCCACTCTTCCGTAAAGCCCAGCTCTGTGGAGTGTATGGCTTAAAGTGGTCCTATGGACAGATACTCCAATCTCCGCTGTGGAGCTTTGCAGCTCCTTCAGGGTTATCTTTGGTCTCTTTGTTGCCTCTCTAATTAATGCCCTCCTTGCCTGGTCCGTGAGTGTTGGTGGGCGGCCCTCTCTTGGCAGGTTTGTTGTGGTGCCATATTTCAATTTTTTAATAATGGATTTAATGGTGCTGCTCCGTAGGATGTTCAAAGTTTCAGATATTTTTTTATAACCCAACCCTGAGCTGTACTTCTCCACAACTTTGTCCCTGACCTATTTGGAGAGCTCCTTGGTCTTCATGGTGCCGCTTGCTTGGTGGTGCCCCTTGTTTAGTGGTGTTGCAGACTCTGGGGCCTTTCAAAACAGGTGTATATATACTGAGATCATGTGACAGATCATGTGACACTTATATTGCTCACAGGTGGACTTTATTTAACTAATTATGTGACTTCTGAAGGTAATTGGTTGCACCAGATCTTATTTAGGGGCTTCATAGCAAAGGGGGTGAATACATATGCACGCACCACTTTTCCGTTATTTATTTTTTAGAATTTTTTGAAACAAGTAATTTTTTTCATTTCACTTCACCAATTTTGACTATTTTGTGTATGTCCATTACATGAAATCCAAATAAAAATCCATTTAAATTACAGGTTGTAATGCAACAAAATAGGAAAAACGGCAAGGGGGATGAATACTTTTGCAAGACACTGTAAATCAGTCTTTAGGATCTGTAGATTAGTCTGTGTGTAATTGTTAATCCTGTAATTATTCTTCAATAATCTGGTGCATGTGCTGACTAATTACCATTTACATACTGTATACTGGGACCAGCATGGAGTTTGTCACTTTTTACGTGTTCCACGTACAGTATCAGGCATCACGAATGGTCTTCACGTGTTCAAATCGAATAGATTTTTTTAAATTACGAATTCATGTGAAAGCGCTTTAATTGTGGTTTTGACATATTTTGCAGCACATTTCTCACGACCAAAATCCACATGAAATGGCTTTGTTGTTGTGTTGTTGGAGTATCCTCCCAGTGGGAACCATGCTGCTCTTCTTTCCCCCCCCATGTGTGTGGTAACAGCAGAACCGTATTGTCAAGCATCATGGTGATGCTTGTGCCTGTCTCGTCTCCCCTGTGTTTCAGTGGCGTGTGTTTTAGGCCTTATTAATGTCTCTAAACCCTGACCTTTAAACGTCTGGGGTGTTGACATGTGTTGTGCATTTACCCTTTAAAGAGTATGCTGAACCAGAGCATCAGACTACTCGAGAGGACGGCCTCAGACCTGCCGGTAAGTAGGCCTCCTACAAACCATGTACCCCAACAGTTCACACTGACTCAATCAACATCAAGCATTCGTAATACATCCATAAACACTGAATAAAGACTCCGTAACAGCTCCATAGACTGTTTTGAAAGCTTCTTGAGCATTATTCTGCTCTGTTCTGTCCAGAACAAAGTCACTGATGTGCTGGCGACCATCGAAGCAGCCCAGTATCTAATCTCCCAGAATGCAACACAAGTCGTCAACCAGGTGATTACTATGGCGTCCCAGTAATTGTTCACATTTCAATGCTATGATAAAACTCAGTAGCTAACATATTATTCCTCTCTCCATTAGGAAACGGAAAAGTACAAGCAAACCATTGTTGGTTACTTCAGGCAATACATAGAGTGGGTCAGGACTTCTGTAAGTATTTGTGTCCCAACAGTTTGTTAATGCCTTGGTTTTCCCCCCCTGTAGCATAAGAAGGAAATGAGATGTAGCATAAATATTGTGTCTTTTGCTCGTAAATTACAGTTTTACTATTTGAACAGAATGCTTTTCACAACTTAATTGAATTCTGCCAAAAGTTACAGCGCTGCTGACTTGTTTGCAATCAACTTAGTCATCAATTGTGAATCGTCCAAGTGTAAAGCTATAACGTCCCATTATTTTCCAGAAATTCCAACCAACAACTTTCATAATTGTTTGCCAATGGTATAACTGTAACATATGCTCTTTGTTTGCATGGTTTACCCAGCTGACCATGGAGGTAGCGGCCTGCAAACCCTTCAGTAACATCGTGGACACAGTGGAGATCATAGCCTGCAGCTTCTTGGTTGACTCATTGGTAACTAAAAACGCAATATAAGGGCTCCTTTGAAAACATGCCTGAAACGCCTGTTTGGCCGTTGGAGTGCAGACAGGAAGGCAGGCAGGTAGGGCCTAGCTTGAAAGGGGTGAGGGGGGTTGGAGGTTGGTCTCTGGAGAAGGTTCACATGTCATTGTACCAGTACAGTATGTTCACACAGCCATATGCTGCGCTCTGCTAAAATATGTGATGTGTGGGGGCACACACGGTACATTCTACCGGCATGGGTCCACACAGCTCCCTCAGTGTTCTCCTCCAAAACCCCCTAGCCCCCCAGACGCAGAAGACAAGGCCGGTTCTTTCTGAGGGCCCAGGTTTTAGCGGATGCTAATGGCTTGATATAATGAAGGCTCAGGCAAGGTACAGGGTCTATGTGTGTGTAAGGTGAAGGGTCTGCAGTGGAGATGGGTGGGGGTAGGGAGTTTGGGGGTAAGGGGGGTGCCATGACCCTCAACAGAGCTCCATCAGACAAATGAGGCCCTCTCTACCCCCAGATCACCCCATCACCCCCCTCCAATCACACACACAGACACCTCACCCCCAACCTCCCCTGATTTAGAACGTACAAGTCAGGCCCTGGAATCCAGCACATGATCAGTGAGAGGTAGTTAGACCTGGCAGTGGGGCACCCTACAGAGTGCTGCAGAGACGAAGAGACGAGAAGGAAATGAAAGCCAGCCTTACATAATCCCGACATCTGTCCAGTCGGCATGGGGCCTTGTTACCAACACGCTCCCAATGTCAGGAAGCATCTCTATGAAATGGAACAAATAGCCCCCCCGCCCGCCACTTAGAGCCCCCATAGGTTCCAGCGCCAGCTAATTGACTTGGACTGTTAACAGGATGTTTCTGGACATACCGTACGGACCAAAGCGCTTGTTAAAGCTCGATGGGTAATTTTACTAGTGTCCCGGAGCAACAGAGCAAAGGTGCAGCAACACAGGAAAGAACCTGTAAGTGCTCCAATACTGCTTCTAGTCTTTCCACTATACAATAGCTACACACAACTGGGTTTCCACACTGAAAGTTGAAACAGTAGAGAAGCGTCAACAGCACAGTGTGTCTGGCAGGGATGGGGAAATGGAGCTACATACCTAACATGGTGACAGAGTAAAGATGTGACACTTTGACTATCAGTGTTATTGGAGGGGAGCCAAAATGAATCATGACAGTGTTCATTCTCGTAAGCAGACTATGGTGCTGTTACGGGCTGTTATGTCATGGCAATGATTACTTCATATCAGAGCATGTGAGCAGAGTTGAGCTGTTGGAAATCCCGCTCATCGCTCACCGCTGCGGCGCTCCATGTGCTCTCCAACCACTCCGCTAAAAACCACTCTGCGCTCACAGGGAAAAAAAATGACGCTCCAAATTCGCTCCATTCGTTAAAATCACAATTTAACCAACACCCATCTATTTTTGTGACTACCTGGACCTACCAATTGTTTTTTAAGTGTTGAAACCAAACCATATGGATTTGAATGAATAAACCTGAAAAGGTGAATGTAAGAAGCAAACGTCATTTCAAATAAGCTACATGTCATACTAAACACTGTAAATAGGTCAGGAGCCAGACAGTGAGCCTAAGAAGGAACGGAAATGAAGTATTTAGGCTATTTTATTTCAATTATTTCAAGGCTATAGCCTACAAATAAATACATTGTGAATCATTTGCGAGTGCGACACAAGAGGCTGGTAGGGACAAAAAGCACTCAGCATTTAAACAACATTTCGTTGTAATAAATCATTATAGTCTATAAATTGTGCATATGCAGTGGCTTGCGAAAGTATTCACCCCCTTGGCATTTTTCCTATTTTGTTGCCTTACAACCTGGAATTAAAATGGATTTTTTTGGGGTTTGTATCATTTGATTTACACAACATGCCTACCACTTTGAAGATGCAAAATGTTTTTTATTGTGAAGCAAAGATGTAAGACAAGAAAACAGAAAACTTGAGCATGCATAACTATTCACCCCCCACCCCCCAAAGTCAATACTTTGTAGAGCCACCTTTTGCAGCAATCACAGCTGCAAGTCTCTTGGGGTATGTCTCTATAAGCTTGGCACATCTAGTCACTGGGATTTTTGCCCATTCTTCATGGCAAAACTGCTCCAGCTCCTTCAAGTTGGATGGGTTCCACTGGTGTACAGCAATCTTTAAGTCATACCACAGATTTTCAATTGGATTGAGGTCTGGGCTTTGACTAGGCCATTCCAAGACATTTAAATGTGATGGCCAAAAAGCTCAATTTTAGTCTCATCTGACCAGAGTACCTTCTTCCATATGTTTGGGGAGTCTCCCACATGCCTTTTGGCGAACACCAAACGTGTTTGATTATTTTTTTCTTTAAGCAATGGCTTTTTTCTGGCCACTCTTCCGTAAAGCCCAGCTCTGTGGAGTGTACGGCTTAAAGTGGTCCTATGGACAGATACTCCAATCTCCGCTGTGGAGCTTTGCAGCTCCTTCAGGGTTATCTTTGGTCTCTTTGTTGCCTCTCTGATTAATGCCCTCCTTGCCTGGTCCGTGAGTGTTGGTGGGCGGCCCTCTCTTGGCAGGTTTGTTGTGGTGCCATATTCTTTAAAAAATGTTATAATGTATTTAATGGTGCTCCGTAGGATGTTCAAAGTTTCAGATTTTTTTTTATAACCCAACCCTGAGCTGTACTTCTCCACAACTTTGTCCCTGACCTATTTGGAGAGCTCCTTGGTCTTCATGGTGCCGCTTGCTTAGTGGTGCCCCTTGTTTAGTGGTGTTGCAGACTCTGGGGCCTTTCAAAACAGGTGTATACATACTGAGATCATGTGACAGATCATGTGACACTTAGATTGCTCACAGGTGGACTTTATTTAACTAATTATGTGACTTCTGAAGGTAATTGGTTGCACCAGATCTTATTTAGGGGCTTCATAGCAAAGGGGGTGAATACAAATGCACGCACCACTTTTCAGTTATTTATTTTTTAGAATTTTTTGAAACAAGTTATTTTTTTAATTTCACTTCACCAATTTGGACTATTTTGTCTATTACATGAAATCCAAATAAAAATCCATTTAAATTACAGGTAGTAATGCAACAAGATAGGAAAAACGCCAAGGGGGATGAATACTTTTGCAAGGCACTGTAGCGTTTTCCTTGATGGCCATAAAGCTCGATTTTAGTCTAATCTGACCAGAATACCTTCTTCCATATGTTTGGGGAGTCTCTTTTGCAAGGCACTGTAAGCTGTGACTTACTTAGAATTAAATACAAACTAAACGAAAAATGACTTTTGGTGCCTTTGAATACATTTTTTGAATTCATTTTTAGAAACATGAGTTTGGCCAGTCTGTGGCTTCAGGCTCACGCGATGGTGCCTGGAGAGCAGGCCAGCAGTGGAGAATATCCTCTCCACACTTGCAGAGCCACTGGGGATGCTAAACACCCTTTTGGCCACTCTTGCCAGGCTGGACAGAGATGCTGAGTTGTTCTTTTTAATATGTCTATAGGCCTAAAGGTTTTTAGGAAAATAACCCAATCAAAACGTAGCATGCTTTTGGGATACCTGTCTTTTCAGATTCCACAATAATTTTTTTGTTGTGGACACTGCATCACTGCACTCCCTCTCTTGATCTTGGTCCTCATCTTTGTAAGTCACCTTGATTTAGCACCTTATTAGTTTCTTTATGAAAATATTTAGTGAACTCCATGACCGTAGCTAAAGCAAGGGGCTATAGCTAGCAGCACACAAGTAGACTACAAATGCATGCTGGGCCGGGCATGCCTTAAGCTCGTGAAGTGAGTGCTACTGGAGCGAAATTGGAGCGGGCGAGAAGGCCGGCGCTCCTACCTTTGGGAATCTCGCTCCACGCTCCAGTCAAATTGGGCACGCTCCAGCTCCGCTCCACTCACATACTCTGCTTCATGTAGACTGTATGACTCAGTGTTTTCCACCTTCAGAGTTTGGTAAACTGTGCTGGCCCCTCTGCAAAAACATGCACAGTCACAAACAGGTACACCCACTTTGCAGGACTTGGTGTCCAAAATGATGGAAAGTCCTCTACGAAACACGGTTGACAGTGCAGAGAAGTGTAGCCAGTTTACGGTGCTATACTTCATACCTCAGACTCCAGTGTTGAAAATCTTCCCAATAATGAAATATTAAATTATATATTATGCTCCATGGCTATATTTAGTCATAAAACCATACATATATTTATCATGTAAACATTTTATATATATACACTACCGGTCAAAAGTTTTAGAACACCTACTCATTCAAGTGTTTTTCTTTATTTGTACTATTTTCTACATTGTAGAATAATAGTGAAGACATTGAAACTATGAAATAACACATATGGAATCATGTAGTAACCAAAAAAGTGTTAAACAAATCAAAATACATTTTATATTTTATATTCTTCAAATAGCCACCCTTTGCCTTGATGACAGCTTTGCACACTCTTGGCATTCTCTCAACCAACTTCATGAGGTAGTCACCTGGAATGCATTTCAACTAACAGGTGTGCCTTCTTAAAAGTTAATTTGTGGAATTTATTTCCTTCTTAATGCGTTTGAGCCAATCAATTGTGTTTTGACAAGGTAGTGGGGTATACAGGAGATAGCCCTAATTGGTAAAAGACCAAGTCCATATTATGGCAAGAACATCTCAAATAGCAAAGAGAAACGACAGTCCATCATTACTTTAAGTCAATTGTCACGCCCTGGCTCTGGGGACTCTAGTATGTTGAGCCAGGGTGTGAGTTTTCATTTGTTTTTGTTCTAGTTTTGTATTTCTATGTTGGCCAGTGTGGTTCTCAATCAGAGGCAACGTGTATCAGCTGTTGCTTGTTGTCTCTGATTGGGAACCATACTTAAGCAGCCAGTTTTCCCACAGTGTTTGTGGGATCTTGTTCCAGTGTGGTTTGTGTTAGACCGAGGACGTCACGTTATCGTTTGTTGTTTTTGTTCGTGTTATCATTATTTAATAAATATGTTCACCTTTCACGCTGCGCCTTGGTCCTCTGTACCCGACGATCGTGACAGAAGATCCCACCAACACTGGACCAAGCAGCGTGTCCAGGAGCCAGCGCCAGAGGTATCGCTAAAGGACATCAACCTCGGCTGGGCCTGGCCCACGGGGAGGAGAGACCCCCAGAAATGTTTTAGGGGGGGGCTCACGCCGTGGACGACGGGGCAGCAGGAGGCCGCGATAGAGCGGTCCAGCGGGTTTGCAGAGGAGGCCGCCAGGTTAAGGGGGCCACTGGTCACAGAGGAGAGGGAAAGTGTAGAGGCATGGCGAGAGGTACTGGGGTGTGTTACCAGTCCGGTCCGGCCCGTTCCTGATCCCTGCGTAGGGCCAGTGGTGTGTGTCCCCAGTACGGTCCGGCCTGTTCCTGTTCCTCGCATCGAGCCTGTGGTGCGCGTCGTCAGCCCGGCCCGGCCTGTTCCTGCTCCACGCACCAAGCCTATGGTGCGCATCGTCAGCCCGGCCCGGCCTGTTCCTGCTCCACGCACCAAGCCTATGGTGCGCATCGTCAGCCCGGCCCGGCCTGTTCCTGCTCCACGCACCAAGCCTATGGTGCGCATCGTCAGCCCGGTTCGGCCTGTTCCTGCTCCCCACACCAAGCCAGTGGTGTGCGTCGTCAGTCCGGCACAGCCCGTGCCTGTTCCACCGGTGCCTGGTCCGGCACCGGTCAGCTGCTCCACGCCGGAGCTAGAGCAATCCGCTCCACCGGTGTTCAGTCCAGCTCCGGCCAGCAGGGTCAGACCGGACCAGGGGTACTTTGGGGGGTTGGAGAGGGAGTGGGAATCATGCCCGGAGCCGGATCCGCCGCCAAGGCGGAGTGCCTACCCGGTCCCTCCCCTGTGGTGTTTGGTTGGCGTGGCCGGAGTCCGCGCCTTTGGGGGGGGTACTGTCACGCCCTGGCTCTGGGGACTCTAGTATGTTGAGCCAGGGTGTGAGTTTTCATTTGTTTTTGTTCTAGTTTTGTATTTCTATGTTGGCCAGTGTGGTTCTCAATCAGAGGCAACGTGTATCAGCTGTTGCTTGTTGTCTCTGATTGGGAACCATACTTAAGCAGCCAGTTTTCCCACAGTGTTTGTGGGATCTTGTTCCAGTGTGGTTTGTGTTAGACCGAGGACGTCACGTTATCGTTTGTTGTTTTTGTTAGTGTTATCATTATTTAATAAATATGTTCACCTTTCACGCTGCGCCTTGGTCCTCTGTACCCGACGATCGTGACATCAATACGGAAAATGTCAAGAACTTTTAAAGTTTCTTCAAGTGCAGTCGCAAAAAACATCAAGCGCTATGATGAAACTGGCTCTCATGAGGTGGTTTGGAATGAGTCGGACCGCAGAGTGAAGGAAAAGCAGACAACAAGTGCTCAGCATATGTGGGAATTCCAGGTGAAGCTGGTAGAGAGAATGCCAATAGTGTGCAAAGCCGTCATCAAGGCAAAGGGTGGCTATTTGAAGAATCTCAAATATAAAATATATTTTGATTTGTTTTACACTTGTTTGGTTACTACATGATTCCATATGTGTTATTTCATAGTTTTGATGTCTTCAATATTATTCTACAATGTAGAAAATAGTAAAAATAAAGAAAAACCCTTGAATGAGTAGGTGTGTCCAGACTTTAGACTGGTACTGTATATATATATATAGCTGTAAAGATTATGATCAAGAGAAAGTATACCGAACTTAGGACTGCTTTTGACTGATACTGCATTCTCTCTGTTTTCCCTGTCTCTCAGAACACATTCTGGTTTGGCCTAGGCTGCTGTGCCCTATTCCTCCTTCCTAGCATCATCCTGTCAGTAAAACTGGCAAAGTTCTACCGTAGGATGGACACAGAGGATGTTTACGATGAGTGAGTATCTCTAATCTTAAACTGTCCAGTGAAAATCTCACTTTTAAAAGTTAATATTCTGTTAACTCATACCCAAATAATGTTGTTGAATCGTCCTATACTCGTATTTGTGGCAAACCATAAATTGTAGAAAAAACCCTTTAAAAAACCCACCTCAAACTTGTATCTCAAACAGACTGTTTAAAAAATGCTTGCTATTTCCTCACAGAGCATGATGTCATGTTGGCTCATTGGCTGAGCTGGCCAATCAGCAGTCTACTCGCATGAATATTTTAATGACCGGTATACAACCACACCATTCTGTTGTTGGGGTGTGCCCACACCATACCAACACTGAAAATACTTAATTACCATTTTTTGGAAGGAAAACGATTTAACTCATATTGGAATTAATTATAGGTCATATTTAATAGATATCTAGAAACACTGAACAGTTACTTGAAATACTATGCTGTCACATACAGTTTGTCATATGTGACTCGTTTCAGGAAACTAGTTGTATATCGCGTGTCACTACTTCACAGGAGAGGCATTTGAACCTAAACATAGATTTTTTTTACAAAATGCGTTTTTTGGCAGAAATGCCCTCTGGAACATGTGAACTTTCATGTGCCTTAATAACAAACTTGTATGCCATCTGTAAATAGGAATACAATTGTTATATTACTAGCCTATTTGGTTTAGCCATGGAAAAAGACAGGAACCTTTCCGCTAGCCATGATTAGCTGAGATAATGGATGAGCTGGACATGCCGAGAGATGAGTTCGGGTTGGTCTGCCATGTAGCAAGTGTCTGTCTATAACATGAGCTGCTCAGTATGTGTAGATAATCCTTTCTAACGTGGCTATTTTGAAAGATATCACAAAGAACTGCAAAAGTGTTGCTAATGATCTCCATTTTCTGGAGGACTGAGTTTTGAAATCAGTGGAATGTCCGGTGGAAGCATCTAAGGTGATGGAGAAAATGCTGCTGTTTGATTGCAAAGAGAACACACAGAAGGCTGTTGTATAAAACACCTGTCTCCGGATTACATCTTCAAACTAAGGGCAACCATGGCATCCATGACAGAGAGGGAGAATCGTTTATCAATGTATATGGGTAAGAGAGTCTAGCTAGCTACATTTTCAGAGATCGTACGTTTCTAATTTTGTTAGAAAGACGTTTTCGTTGCAAGTTAAAGCATACTGTTAGCTAGCTGGCTCGCTAGCTAACGTTACTTGTATGATCTATGTAGTAATATTATTCATATCTCAGAGCCATTTTCATTGCTAGTTATAGCCTATTGTTAGATAGCTAGCTAACATTGAACCTAGTTGGTTAGCTTTAGCTACCTGCAGATTCATGCAGGGTAGTAACGTTATAAATTAGGATTATGATTAATTGTTTAGCTAGCTAGCTAAATGTCTAAACATAAGACTTCACTATGCAAGTAACTATTTCACTGTACTGTTTACACCTTCTGTATCCTGTGCATGTGACAAATAAACTTTGATTTTATTTGATATTTTACCAGAGACGGTAATGTGAAGAACATCATGACCTGCACCAAAGTCAAATTAGGATATAACGTTAGGCCAACGAGACAGTGTCCGTTCTAAAATTCTCTGGTAGAATGCCCTGCTTTTATTTTGTCACACTCGCCATTCACTTTTAAATAATGATTTTGTTGTGAGTATTTTCCTGTAATAATGAATACAAATTAGCTTAAGTTAAGAAGTTGTCAGCTGTATGATATGGTCATTATTTGAACTGGTTAGCCAGCTAACTTCACTTTAGCTAGCTAGCTAACAAGCTAGAAACAATCCTAAACATTGTTTAGAAAGTAGCTTTTAGTTGCCTGGTTTGCTAGATTGACATATACTAAATTCATTTTTAAACGGATGGGTTTATTGGTGTTAAAATACACCAGTTATGCTATTTTGGACCACCAGGCTGCTGATGTCATGCAGCCTGTCGTTTTTGTGTTTATATCTTTTCATAACGAAAATGACAAGTTTGATGTCGGACGACAGTAGAACGTTCATTGCGAGAACTGTCTACATACATGTCGATAGACGTAGTATGAACCAGCCTTTAGTCTTGAAATCTTTGATTGTTTAGTACACTACCGTCATACTCACTCTGTTTAGCACATGGCCTCACATTTGAATCCTTAAAGAGATGGGTGGGTCTAAGGCTTAAGAGGGTGTGAAGGATTCTGAATGGGTGTAGACAAAGAAGAGCTCTCCAGTAGGTGTACCAAAACATTCAAGGGCCATTTTCTCAAAAGTGGGGATATAAGTTTATCAACTTTCAAAGCAGAATTACTGTCCCATTGTTACTCAACTGTAGTATATGATATACCATTTTCTAGCTCGGAGTCTCTACTTTTATCCAATGTAAAAAAAAAACACTATTTCAAATTTTGCTACATAAGACCGAATCGAGCCGGTCGGTCACATATCTGGAAAGAACCCTTTGATCATCCTCTTAAGTGAACTATAGCTATGGTTTGGAAATCCCCTGCTGTGAATTTGTAGTGCAACCCAGTGATTAGTTTAATGTATGGTGATCCTTCTTACAGTGTTTCCCCGACAACTGTCCCACCCCACCGAGCTCTTTCCCCCTGCCTATTTGGTTAAAGGGGCCATACAGTAGATGTTGATTTGAGCCTGGATAGTAATCTAGGGGAACACTTCCTTATTAGACCCTATGATATGCATTAACAAGACTGAAATTGGGAGGAGTCTTATCAGTTCTCATGAGTCAGGATTACAAAGTGGTAATTAACACAATTTGACTCAATCCACAACAGACGAGTTCAGTATGAGGTAATAGCATTGCTTCTGTCCTGTCTCTGGTCCTGCCCTTTTTCTAACTTGCCTACTATCCTTCCCCTATCCCTGCCTTCCTCTCTTCTGTCTGTTGCAGTACATTCGCAGTAGTAACTAGGTGTAAGCAACAGTAACTTAACTCTTTCTACTTAATTCTCTGTCTCTTTCTCTCTCTCTTTTCCTTTACAGTTCCTCTGTTTCTGGGACGTGGCATTTTACTTTGTGATAACCATTCCTACTATTTCCATCTCCTTCCATCCTTACTTTTCATTTAATTTCTCTCTGTCAAGCACTTTGCACTTTAAGAAAAAAAAAACGGTGTATTAAGTACTATTCATATTGTTTTATGCATCCTTCAGTAGCCCTCACCTCTCCCATGCACTTACAGTAATGAATGAATGCGATAGACAAGTCACCAAGTGTCTTGATCAACGACGTGTATCGACGTCATTTGCTCAGTGCTATTATGCCCAAAACCTTTTGATGCATTTCTATTGCCGAGCATTTCATTAACATTTTTACTTTTTTGTATCTTTCTAGCATTATTACAATTCCCATGAAAACGTAAGATTCATTTGACCCATTTTACCTCTCCTTTCTCCTTCCAGTATAACTCATCCATACACATGCGCTTTTCTGTGGATTTTGTACATAGATTTAATTGCTGATTTCTTGGTGCTGGTTTTACGTTTTAAGCTTTGAAATGCATCTATTGGTGGATCGTTTTGGCTTTCCTTTAATCTTGAAAAAGTGCCCCTTGTTGATCATTATGGGCTCTGATTTCTTGTTTTTAGTATTTGATTATTTGTGTACTTGTTTGACATTTTACTGCACTGTAAGGAGCTAGTAACACAAGCATTTCACTGCACCCGCTTTAACATCTGCTAAACTGTGTATGCGACCAATAAACTTTGATCTGATTCTTACAGACCACCTCTGTTTTTGTAAGTTAAGGTGTAAGATAAAATACTGTGGTTTATACATTCTAGACTTTCTATATAGAAACATACATTTGTTTACATTTAGAATAGACCCTAGCATTTTCCAAGGTTTTCCGATTTAGAGAAAAAACGTTTATTGTCGAGGGTTGATACCATGCCATGTCTCTCACGTCATATTTCTTTATCACGTTTTTTTTTGGTATGCAATGTTTTGTTTCAGTATGGAAATTGGTAATAATGGTTATCATATTGAGCGTTTACAAGGTATCCAAAACCCTGTATTGACAAGGTAAACAAAATATAAAGCAGCCCGACGGAAATAATCAATTTGCATGGCCTGTTTCAGGGAGGGATTGGGGCAGGGGCAGCATGTTGGCCAGGGGGCAGTCAGTCAGTCACTCAGTGGGGGTGGTTTAATAAGGTGGCTGGGACACAGTGCATGCCCTCAGACACATCTGGAGGTCAGCTGGACTCTTTCCGCTGGCTGCTACTCTGGTTGCTGCTCCAGCATTGGGTGGTCACAAACAAGCCAGCTTAGTCCACTGTTTACCGCTTATGTGTTTTGGGGTTTGGGGTTTCACGTGATCTTTGGACCATTACTAACCCACTGCATGCTCTGTTCACAATGACTTGATCGAGTGAAAAGAAACTCCTTGCATGTTTCCTCTTCTTTAGAATTGGGCAAACTGCTGTGAATGTACACGTGATCCTTTTGGTCAGAGAGAGGCAAAAAGAGAGGCAAGCATGTCTGCTTTGGTGTGGTACTACTGAGACAACTGCTCATGTGACTAACAACCTCTAACTGCATGTTTTTCATTGAAATGTACATTTGGACAGCCAAGCAGTGTGAACCAGACACAGAGAGCATCACCACAGAATGACAGACAAGGGAACATGACAATAACCAACCTGCTAAGACTACCACCTATGGCTTATCTTTTATTACAATCTACCCGATATCATCATCAATTCACCATGAACATGGTTTCACCCTCTACTTCTCTCAAAAAGTCAATAGAAAATCAGTTTGGATAGAGTGGATGTTATTCCCTCAGTTCAGTTCATATGCAACACGTGTATGGTTACACACAGGCAAATGTACTGCATACATTCACCCTGGCATCATACCATCCCTTGTTGGCCTCAAGCCCTCAGCGAGTGTCGATGGAGTGGTTCTGCTCTCTGTGTCTTGGGAAAAGCCTGCTGCTCCCGTCAAGTGAAGGATCTGAAAGCAAGAGACAGGGCTAACAAAATGGTTGACCTTCGAAGGTTCCCTTTTCCTGGCATTGATGTTGTCCCCCTTTCTGTACCCCTGTGCCACTAGCATCCCTGCCTATGACACTATGTCTAGATTCCCACGGGCCTCAGCTCCCCCCAGGCATATTGACTGGTGAGAGAGGGCCAGGCTTTTTGACCGACTCCAGAAAGGTACTGAGAACCACTGAATACTCGGACGACATCTCTCCGTCCACCTCCTCAGCATTGTCTTCCCTTCCTTTGTTCTCCGTTCATACCATCTTCGTGCCTACATACCATCTTCGTGCCTACATACCATCTTTGTGCCTACATACTATCTTCTCCTGCTGTTTGTCTGCATGCCATTGCCACACTGAAAAACCTCCAGAACTTTGACAGTCTTTTCTCTCTTGTCTCATCCTTTGCTTGACACCATATTTTCTTATGCAACCCCCAATTCACCCTTCTTCACAGCTTGTTTTAGCACTTGCATGTCTGCTTCACTGACTTTGCAGAAAGGCTTCACGGTGAGGATTGCTATTTTTGTAATCACTAATAAACCCTAAACCGTAAATGGTTTGATGGTATTTGTGTCTAACCACTTGTAACTGCTCTATAAATGTACTGTAGACCAGGCCCGCTGTGTGTGTTTGCTATTACTAATGACTTAAACAGTTTAAGATGAAAGTCTTGCTTCTCTCATTTCAAAACTCACATTTCATTGCTTTCATTTCTCCCTTGAGTCGGTCAATGGCAAAAGCAATAAGCTTCTGAAATATCTAATCAAATCTGATGAAATTAAATGTCAATATTTTCTGATACAGTATCTTCTCTTCTACAGTGCCATTGGAAGCTGGAACTGAAACACTCGATTGTAAGTTTCCACTATAGTTGTAGATACTGTTGCGCTTTTCTATTATCAATTTTAGCATAGAAATATACCACTTTTATACAATCTGTTGGCTATCTACATAGACTATTTTACATCAGTGCATTATTTCTCAGATGTTGAATGCAGTGTTAAAATGTTTAGGACCCCATCAATTTCCCACCCTGTGGACAAGACAAAGCTCCAAAAAGAGGTCCTTACCTGATGTCTTTTGTGTGTGTTCACCTGGTCCTCTCTTCCTCTATCTGCACGGATCTATTTACTGACAAGATCCTAATGTCCTGTCACAGCCTTTTCTGGATATCTGCTGTCCAATAGGACCCCCTCGGACACTACAGAAGGTGCTGTCATCAACCCTTTCTTTGATCTTCCCTGGGGAACTATATGGAAGCCATACATCTGAGCCCGTGTCGGTCGACCTTCATCCTTCACCTCACACAGCTGTCTAATGTGTTTACATTAGTCTGGCCACAATATCAGAGCCGAGGCTGAGTTCAAATTGAGGACACAACAACAATTCCATGGCTGTGTACTCTCAAACCTTTTGTACTTCTTTCGTGTTGTGTAAACAGTGACTGAAAAGATCTTTAAAAGGTCATGTAGAGCTACTATGAGTACATTGCCATTTCTGCTCATAGTTGAGTGGTCTTTGCAATGATGTTTTACTAACTGATGGGGAGAGCTGTTTGAGACGTATCATGTGAAACAAAGACTTGGTGTAGAAACAGACTTGATGGTCTTGGATCATAGGCCTATATGTTTGTGCTTGAATAATATAAGGACAATATAGCATGACTTTTGTATGTTTCCAACATTACAAGACAGCCAGAGGTTGTTATCCATGCTGGGTTGAGGCAAACTACTGACGGTTGCCTTTTAGACCTGTTTTAGCATTTTGACTGATGTCCACCATCTTGTTGGCTATGAGGAATTACTGTATCTCATATCAGTGTATAACAGGTGGAATATCACATGAACCTGGACAGAAATGTCAAGAGACTATAACATTCCTTAGTTGATTAATTGATTAACAATAATGCAAAGTATCATGTTGAGTATACTAACATGGCATGTTAATCAATATATTTTTGGGGCTATTGTAGTGGTCAAACTTTAAGTTGGAGAACTGCTATTTAAAGCCAAATCCTATTTTTACTGTAGGTCTCAGGTCTTTAGTTGTATAACAGTTATGAATAATATATTGTTTCAATCTTTTTTTTAATCCCACAGTAGCTTTTGGTACCTATGGAACTATGGAAGGGTGAATGTATTGAAGAGTTATTTGTATAAAGAGATGTATTGCTTAAAGTGAATGATGACACCCGTGTGGACTATGCTGAACAACGTTAACATACTGTACGGTACATGCCACCCTGATAATATAACCCATCTGTTCACACTTGTTTATAGGTTTTTATGTTCCTTCTGCTTCATAAAGATGGGGGACATTAGCCTACTTAACTACCATGTGCTGTCAATCAAATGGCATTAAGCCAATCCAATAGAGGCTTGTTGATGAGATGAGCGAAGACTTGTTATTGGTATAACTGATCTTGCCCATTGAGCCTCGGAAAGAAGCTTCACTTCCCAATAACTATTATTTAAGTACATGCCTGCAGACTGCTTACCTTAAGAAGTGTATGATTATTACATAACATGCTATTTTACTGAGTTCTAATGATAGACATGTTATATGCACCATCTGGTTAGATAGTGGGTGCAATGTTTACTGGTTGTTTTAAGGGTAAAACTGTAATGGTGGCACTGGATAGTGGGGCACTGATGGTGCCCATTGGAAATGAGTGTCCTTGTATGATGTTTTTTTGAAAGTGTACAAATGTGAATAAACGTTCAGTTTCATTCTTGTACAGAAATCTTTTTATCAATGTTCCTGTTAGAGCTGTGTCTCAGTGACCACTGGAGAAACCAATGGAGAAACCAATCGTTTCAAGTTTTCAAGAGCAAGGGGTCGCTATTTTGGACACCATGTCCTTTGTTTTATGTAAATGATTATCTATACATGATCAGGAACATTTGACATGAGACAGTGGGCTTACACATGTTTTAGCTATGACCTTAAGTCCACATAGTCTTATATAATGTTGCCAAAATGCCGTACTCCATTATGTACCCGCTGTTTTGGATATGAGATTATTATGTTTTGCTATGGGCTAGGACATGAGGTTTCCACAGTCATTTGGCACCCACACCCACATCTGTGCAACCCAGATATACATTTTCTAACCTGCACATAGCACATGACCACTTCTCCCTCACCCTAAATGTGCAACTGGTTAAAGAAGAAGATTGAGTAATGAGTTTAAACTTTAGAGAGTCAAGCTAGGTGATTGTATTTAGATTCTTAACCGTAGCTCATCGTTCCTCAGGCTGTCTGCAGTGATATATTTTGGTTCACCACCTTTGCAACTCTTGGTACTCCATGCAAAGCCTGTGTAGCCACTGACATGCACAGGGAGGGAGAGGCATAAATGCCAGGCCCCTCGTTTGGCTTGCGGCCACAGAGTGCAATTCCCTGATTCCACAAAGCGAAGCGAACCTGCTCCGGATGTTTACATTACAGATCCCGTGTTACTCACAAGGAGCCCTTTCTCCCCTGTTATGATTGATCGCTAGGAAAATAAAGTTGCAAGAGGCATGTGCTGCTGCCCCCCCCCCTCTCTATCACACAGACACACACACACTTGCTGAACAGCCATGTTACATACTATATATGCTGTTGTCTCGAGTCAGCAACTCTATTATGGGTTATTCTTGTTCTTTCTTAATTAGCACAGTAATTACTTCCTGTGTGACACACTAGGTTGGCCTACCACCACCCATGTGCATATTTGTTTGGAACTTCTCTGATTTCTTTCCTCAAGTTTCTCCACAGTCTCCAGTTTTAGATTTGATTGTGTTTATGTTTGGAAGGAAATTATAGGCTGTGCTGTATGGTTGTAAACCTCTAACTTTAAAACAGCAGTGAACCTTGAACAGTTCAACATGTCCTTATAGCGTAGCATTTTAAGACACATTGTGGTATTGAGTTGAAATGTACTTACCACACATACCAACGGTATGTAAAACAGAGAAAAAAAGTAAAAGTGGCATGGTGAACGATTACATTAATGTTATGTTGGCATCAGTGTGCCAAGCTTCTCAAAATGAAGGGCAGTCTGGGGATTTTTTAAAAGTCCACAAGGTTGTGCTTGACATATTTGTCAATGAAACACTTATATACTATACTAGTATGGTCGATTATATAACACCTGGTTAAACTTGAGGACATCAATGTTCTCTGACTATTTCCTTCGTCTCCCTCCCAATTGGTTTCACATGTGGTCCTGGCTTTCATTGACAGTCCCCAGACAACCATAAGTTATAGTCACATTGCAGATGGGGGCACTACTCTCCTCCCCTCTTCCTGATGACTCTTGTAACCCAGGGTTTTTTCACCTGAATGCCCTCTTTGTGTTCAGAGCCCTTAAATAGCAGGAGGGACCCTCAGCTTCTGCAGTCCCACTCTCACTCCCTCTCTCACACTTAAGCATCTGGCATAACCATGTGGACTCGGGCTAGCGCACTGCTGCTCCTCGCCTGCTGCCTCTGGGCAGTGGAGGGTCAGAACGAGAACGGCAATGGCAACACGAGGGCAGGCAATGGTGGTGGTGCTGCCACCGCTGCTGCTGCAGAGAACAGGAAGAGTGTCTGGGAGGACCCCATCCAGTTCAACAACAAGGCAAAGGACTTGTGCACCATGAGTGTCACCGGCCAGGGAGATGTCACCAGGCTGAGGATATCGTGCCAGGGTGCCGAGAGAACCTACTGGTGCGAGTACACGGGCAAGCCCCAGATGTGCCGTGCCTACAACAACAACCCTCGCCACTATTTCACCCAGATCATGTGGGACCTAAGGAAACTCCAGAACGCCTGCCAGGCACCCAAGGCTATCAAGCCTCAGATGTGCAAGAGGGCACCGGAAGACGCCCAGATGTTGTTCTCCGCTTCCTCCACGCCAGAGGCAGCATCAGCAGCCACCCCCCAAAAGCCGGAGAAAGCCCAGGAGCCAACCCAGGTGAAACCAGAGACCCCCAAGGCACCGATCGTCAAGCAGGCTAAGCTAGCCGCAACCAAGCCTGAGGCTAAACCAACAAAACCAGAGCTGGCAAGACCAGAGCAGGCACCTACAAAGCCAGTGCAATCCAGACCTGTGCAGGCAAAACCAGAGCAGGCAAAACCAGCAGCTGCAAAACCAGCAGGATCAAAACCAGCAGGAGCAAAACCAGTCAAGCCAGCAGTGAACAAGACACTGAAAAAGCTTCTGACACCCAAACCAACCACTCCAAAACCAACCAAACCCACTGTCAAGAGCAATGCCAAAAAGATTGCACAAGAGTATTGTTGGCGGTCACTCCAAGGCATCTGTTCCTATGTCATTGGTTGGTTTCAGAACTAATAATGAAGGTGAGTTGAAAAAAGTTGGCTGTTGATATTTTCTGAATTGTAGTTAAAGCATTGTATAATATATCATGATCATTTGATAAGCATTTATATGACAAAGCATGTCTGTCGATCAAATGTCTCTTAAATGAATTTAAATTAAGTTCTATAAAAATGTGACCAGTATGATTTCATGTTTAGGTCAAAGTCTAGTTAGCATTTTACTGAGTAGAAAATGTAAACCTATTCACTATACTAACGTTTTGCTTTCTGTTTCCCAGATTTAGATTCCTTGTGAAGATGACTTCAAAGGTCTGACTAAAGAGGTGCTCAGAGTGGTTTTCCAGAAGAGGACTTTGTTAATAAATGTTGGAAGAGAGCTCTAACACCCTCTTAATGGGAATGATCGTACTGACATTACTGTTAATCAAACATCTTTCCAGCCAGCCATTTCACCATGAGTTGTGAATGTTCCATCGAGACCGATACCAATGAAATAGTAATTCCAAGGGTCACAATGACAACTGAAAGCATCCATACCTGAATGTGTGGATCGGGTATGGACAGATAGTTAAATCCGTCGTCTTTCACATGGTACTCATTTCGTCCCCATTTTATTTTAATTTTTTTACAGTTTGGTTTTTGTGTCAGAAAGCACTCTACACATTTAGACAAACCTATGGTACCCTATAATGGACTCTCCTAAGGCAGATACGCCATTGGTTTTGCCTTTTTTTGTATGTTTGTTTATGTGTATGTTTGTATCACCATAAACCATGTATTGAATATACTGTGTTGGGGAAAAACATGACAAGGTTTTTGTGTCATTCACATAGTAGAGAGGCATATTCTGCAAACTCTACCACTGGTTCATTGGACTGAAATGTCACAATCAATGTATGAATGTCTGTATATAATGAATAAAGTGTGTTCTTAGTTCTTGTTAGTGTGTCTGTGCTCCTTACTGGCTTGCTTTAGGTTTAAAGCCTGTCTCCACATTTTTTTAATACCAGTAGGGAAAAAGTCCAAGTGAGCAATATTGGAAACGTTAATGTTTAACTTTGTGTTCAATACTACCCTTTTTGAGGTGCAGTGTCTCTTTTCCCCAGTATGTGACGCTGTTGTATCAACTTCTTTAAAATATTATTTTTTTCAATGACTGCTGCTCACTGCACTTTTAATAGACCAGTTTAACCTGTAGAGAAAAGTTCGGAATTATTTTTAGGGGTAATCAAAAATGTTCAGTATGATGGTTTTCACTCGTTTTAAGTGACAATAGACTGGATAGGCTTAATTAAGGACAAAAACCTTTGACAAGATACCAAAAAATAAACCCAGATACCACCAAATAAACTCGGACAAACTGTGCGCTTTTGCCTATGTCCCACGTTGGTGGAGTGAGGGAGTGGTGGTGGGTGTGTCTGTGCTCTATAAATGCCATATGCGCGTTCTCCAGGTGTCACAACGGGATTGAACCATTTCCATCTTCCCAAATCTACAGGTGAGCTGAAAAAAATAACCCCTGTTATGTTATGTTAAATATTATGCTGTTGTGTTGTGATAGGCTACAGTAGCAATTATTTGAATGGGAGGTAATTGTACTGTACTAACATACACAACTATGCCATTTTTGCAGATATTTTAGCGGGACATGACACTCCTTATCAACTTAACCGTATTGCTGGTTATTGCCTGCATATCTCAGCAGCTTATGGTGGCTAACTGTCAAGGATCCAAAAAAAGGGGGATGAAGAAGAAAGAAAAAGAGGAACCAAAGGACGGAGAGCAACCAAAGCCCCACGTCCAATCTCCAGAGAAGAAAGACAGCAGCCCCAAAGGAAATGTGTTCAAGGGCAGATTCTCCGCCAAAGGCAAAATGCAATGCACTTGGGTTGCGACAGGTGACAATGACTTTGTGCTTAGCGTGAACTGCAAAAAAGGGCAAACAAGTTTTGACTGCGAATATGTGGCCAAACCAGCCACTTGCCCTGGGTACGGGTCCAACACCAAAGCCTATTGGAAACAGATTGCGCGCGCTCTAAATAAAAATAAGAAATTATGCTTCGACTCCACGGCTTTAATAAAAGCAGGTATGTGCAGAAAAGCTCCCAAGGACGCACATTTCAAACTTAAAAATACACCAAGGGATATTGTTGTTACACTTCCAAGGACTACGATTCAGCCGCGTTCTTCTCCCTCTGCCTCTTCATTGGGTGCCAAATCTTGCGCAGTTGATCAAAAGAGACTGGCAGAAGAATATTGCGCGTCTTCCTGGTCGAGTTTGTGTACTTTCTTTTTTACCATGGTCCAGAATGAGGATTGTTGAGAGTAAAATGAATGAATTTAAATGTCCTCTCTCCCACATTGATTTTGTCATAAACAAATGAACACGTGTTGCTACTCCTCCTGAAGATGTATGCATTTTGATGGATTGTGATGGATATTTTATTTAACCGAGTTTCAAGACTGATTGTCTCATATCATCCATACCAATTGTCCCTTTGAAATATTTTTGCCATGTGTTGTATTCATTGTAAAGCTACAGAACTTAATAAATATGTGTTGTTCTATGTACTCAACTCTTCTCTTCATATACCTGTGTAGTTGAAGCATTTCTGCAGCTGTGTAGCCTGTTCTTTCTAGGAGGGTGGACAGGAGTTAGGCTATTATCCTTGTCAATGATGTATAGCATTATACTTATTCCTCATTATTTTCTAATGACTAAAGATTATTGTATGATTTACTACTACTTGGCAGACAGAGTGTCATTCCGTACCACCCTGCATGGACTCACTCATGCACGCATGAGCATACATGAACGCGCGCTCAAACACACAACCCTGCTGTGCATACTCAACTGCATTTGCCAAAAGGTTAGGAGTTTGAGCATGTTGGGTAATTACACACTGTAATTATAGCAAGTCAGTTAGACGGATCATTTAGAAGATTGATCCTGCATTCCTTGGCACTGACTACTGGCTTTTCATTGGCTTTTTCCAAGGTGAAAAAATGCACATGTTCTAAACACTAGTCAGTGACATTTAGCTATGCCTTTCATATAGAACACTACAACAATTGACAATCATGATGTTTATAAAATTACATAACTGTGCTTGATAGCTAATGGGTCTTTTTGCTATAACTATAATACTATTACTATCAGGCAATCAAGGAAAGATACTTTGGATACATTTTTCTCTCCATTAATTGGATTTCAATCATTCTTTGCACTGAGGGGAATTTGAATGAAATGAACCCCAACCCTCTTCATTGATAATAATAATAATAATAATTGATGAGATAATTGACTCTTGGATGGTTCTTTAGTCTTGGTCCAATAGCTTTTCATTAATCATCATTATTGGTATTTTTATTATCATTATACAGTGAGGTTCTTGCATTCCTAGGATTTTCAGAGACCCATAGGTGCATTAAGGCCTAGATTAAATCAGATCAAGCATTAACCGGTGATAGCTGAAACATGCATAGCTGATGTTTTGGGGTGTCTGAGGTGTAACTGCTTTGGAGCTGTCAAATCAGTGAGCATCTGCCCTTGATCATTGTCATTAGTTGTTCAGAATGAGAAAGTGTAGGCTATATAGAAATAATGACGCTCAAATTGAAAAATCATTAAATAAAATGATGAGGATTTCTATCATCCTAATTGAGGACTAAACAAGGCTGCATGGGATTTATCTTAATGACAATGACAATGTCAGCTGTAGGTATAATGCCAGGAACCAGTTGTGGATTTGACAGCTCTAATGCAGTTACACCTCCAACACTGCCAAAACAACCGCTATGCAGATGTCTGCTAAAGCGGATCTGTTTGAATAGAACCCTAAGTTAACGAATTAGGTCTATTGACAAAGCCAGTTACAAACATGCCACATGTAACATGTCATTTTCTAGCCCAAAGGCCGGCAGATGGCGATATTGAGTCGTTTCATTTTACCGTCCAAACGCATTGTATGCAGCTGGCAATACACTCGTATCCCCCAAGGGCCGGTTCGTACATAAAACATTATCCGTTCAGGCTGCAAAGGCTTCCATTACCTCCTTAAATGTATTTAATGGTGAGAAGGAGGGGAAAAAGGTGGAAAAAATGCGTACTTTCTTTATGAAACACCATTTTCCACCACCCCGCTAGAGTGGCTAATGCCTAGGAATGCTACTTCCCGATATTGCACCCACTTTCAGCAACATCTCAGATTAGCATTTAGCCACTCTAGCATGGTGGTGGAAAATGGTGTTTCATAAGGAGAATAAAGCATATTTTCCCCTGAAAAATGTGCCATCTCGCCAATAAAGTTAAGGAGGAATTTGAAGCCTTTGCAGCCTGAATGGAGAATGTTTTAGATACGAACCGGTCCACGGGGGATACGAGTGTATTGCCGGCTGCATACAATTCATTTGACTCCCGAGTGTCGCAGTGGTCTAAGGCACTGCATCGCAGTGCTAGCTGTGCCACTAGAGATCCTGGTTCGAGTCCAGGCTCTGTTGCGACCGGGAGACCCATGGGTGGTGCACAATTGGTCCAGCGTCGTCCAAGGTAGGGGAGGGTTTGGCCGGCAGGGATGTGGGTTCATTTTCCACGGGGGGCCAGTATGCAAAAAAAACATGTATGCATTCACTAACTGTAAGTTGCTCTGGATAAGAGCTTCTGCTAAATGACTAAAATGTTTGGACGGTAAAATGAAATGACTCAATATTGCAATCTGCCGGCCTTTGGGCTAGTGATTTTCTAGCTACTGGGCTTCTTTTACTGTCTTCTTGTTACTGGCCAGCTGTTATTTTTGACTGATCTATGGGTTGGAGGTCAAAGGGTCACTGCCACGTGAGAAACTGCTGACAAGGCACCACCCACCCTGACCTGGGTTCAAATACTATTTGAAATAATTTCACATACTTTTGCTGTGCTTGATTGAGTTTGCCAGTTGCAATGGAACCAATAGAAAAGTCAAGAAAGTGCAAACCCCACCCACCTAGCACTCCAGGCAGACTAAAGCAAACACTCAAAGTATTAACATGATTTCAAATAGTATTTGAAACTGGGTTTCCACCCACGGTGACCCAAAAAGTAATGGTATGATCAATGTTTTGGGTATGCAAATTACCCAAATTACCCATGGGGCTAGAGGGCACACCTGTATGTCACATGTATTATTAAGACATTGACAGCTGTCATCATTCTGACCCTGCTTGTCAAAATGGTCACTCAAATATTGAGGTTTCCAAACAAGAAAAGACTTGATAAAAACACAAAAGATATGTGGGCGGTTCATTTAAAATAAAAGTATGATCGGTTTTACTGATTAACTTAATTGTTTTTAAATGTTTGTCAAAACATAGTAGTGAAGCAGAGATCATTTATCTCTTTAGGAGTCATTATACCGTAGAACATGTGTTTCTCAACTTCACACAAGGGTAAAAAGCCTGTGTTGCACTCTTCTCCCTCTCGCTAAGACTTTTCTTTCACTACAGGGGCTCCCACACTCCACCACCCACTTCAGACAAGCACCTACACGACCTACACCAGCACTTGACAATCCCTCATCATACTGCCTGGAAATACAGAGAAAAGGCGCCAAAGTGAATGTAGGAACAATAAACAGAACACAGAGTGCTTCATGTAGACAAGAGTATATAATACATGAGTTTATAATACATGAGTATATAATGCATGAGTATATAATACACGAGTATATAATACATGTGTATAGAATACCTGTATTTTTTTATGTGGTTCAAATTAGCCCTCCAGATGGTGGTAAGCTGAGGAATGGAAACGGGAAATATAACCACTCTCAAATTCCTAGACAAGGCTATGGATGCAAGGTCTGTGAGATCGACATATTAAACATACCTTGTTTAAATGACCAGTGACCAGCACGTCATCTTACAGATTGTGCCTTAATATTGTAAAACTTTTGTCATTTTACAGATTGTGCCTTAATATTGTAAAACTTTTGCCAAATCTTCAACAAACTTTTAATGGGCATGTCTGGGACCGGAGGCTTTAGTAAACTATAGGAGATTCTGAGATTTGACCACATTTCCTCTCCCAGCATGTTGGGCTCATTAGATAGGAGAGGAATGGTACACTATTGAGCAAACATGGAAATGATCCAACAAATGTATGCAGATGCAGCAGAGTGAAATTGGTGTTGATTTGATCCCCAAAAAAGTTGGTGTAATGGTGTCCATGTGTAGAAAGAAAAACCATGGATAAGCCAGAATAATTAAAAGCCAGATAATAAATAATTTCAGTAGAGGACAGAAACTTGGTCAACTTTACCAATAGTACATTTAGGACCAGAAGCCCATTGTAGAACATTCTAATGTAGTAGTTAGTCTCTGGGATGAGCCCTTAATAAAAGGCTAGTATCACTTGATTAGTTCGCATTGTCATAGATATTGATATTTCTTGCATTGTTTTAAGGCATGGTATTGCCACATGGGTAACTGTTGCCAAGGCTGATAACTGGGAATATTATACTTGACACCAAGATCTATTCAAGTCGTGTCATATAGAAATATGCCTGATTTTAAACATTAACTGGCCTTTAATGTGGCTTGGTCTGAAAGCTCTACAATGCTCTTACAGTACATGCTCTCAGTCATTGCTGACACTGTGACCATCCTCTAAAACACTATATACCCACCAGTTAGTTTATGGACATACTGTAATACAGTTCTGATGCCACTGCAATAAAACACTTTTATACACTTCTATAGATCCATATTGCTTTGAAGGAAGTTCCATATATATTTGATATCAGTAGTTCAATCTGTCATACAAAAAAGATTTTAGTGCACCCCTGAAGTAGGTTGATATCTTCCCGCTTGAATAACGGCGAAAGGTTTATTTCGGTTGTACATTGTTGTACATTGCTTAACCTTGATAGATTGTAGATAGCTTGTTGGATTGAATTTCCACCTATGTCCCCCTCAACATACGGTGTTCTTTACTGGTGTACTTTACCAAGGAACTCTATGTTAACTATTGCAACTTGTCAAAGCCATGTAGGCCATAGACCTTAGGACATACATACTTATAAGTTATTTATTAGCTACTTCGCTATTCATGTAATAGTCCTATAGATGGTTGTTTATTAATTTAACTTAAAGGCTGACCTGAGCTTGAACTGTACTTCAAAACAAGTGTATGTTCTTTAGGAAATTACTGATTCCTGCATTCAAATAATACATTTTGGAAGTGAATTATGTAATTTCATAATGGAGTGCCCCGTCAACCCTTACTAACATAGATTATTAATCTTTGACCCACCCAAAACGTTTAAAAAATGTTAGATGGACACCTGG